ATTGACAACACCAAAATTGATGACAGTCAAAATTAATGATGCCAAAATTGACAGCCAAAATTGACAGCCAAAATTGACAGTCAAAATTGACAGTAAAGATTGACAATAGTCAAAGTTGACAATGCCAAAATTGACAGTCAAAATTGATGGCCAAAATTGACAGTCAAAATTGATGACACCAAAATTGACAGTAAAAATTGACAGTAAAAATTGACAGTCAAAATTGACAGTAAAAATTGATGCTGCCAAAATTGACAGCCAAAATTGACAGTCAAAATTGATGACACCAAAATTGACAGTCAAAATTGACAGTCAAAATTGACAGTCAAAATTGACAGTAAAAATTAATACTGCCAAAATTGATGGCCAAAATTGACAGTCAAAATTGATGACACCAAAATTGACAGTCAAAATTGACAACACTAAAATTGACAACAGTCAAAATTGACAACACCAAAATTGACAGTCAAAATTAACAGTAAAAATTGACAACAGTCAAAATTGACAACACCAAAATTGATGACAGTCAAAATTGATGATGCCAAAATTGACAGCCAAAATTGACAGCCAAAATTGACAGTCAAAATTAACAGTAAAAATTGACAATGGTCAAAGTTGACAATGCTAAAATTGACAGCCAAAATTAACAGTCAAAATTAATGACACCAAAATTGACAGTAAAAATTGACAGTCAAAATTGATGGCCAAAATTGACAGTCAAAATTGATAACACTAAAATTGACAACAGTCAAAATTGACAACACCAAAATTGACAGCCAAAATTAACAGTAAAAATTGACAACAGTCAAAATTGACAACACCAAAATTGATGACAGTCAAAATTAATGATGCCAAAATTGACAGCCAAAATTGACAGCCAAAATTGACAGTCAAAATTGACAACACCAAAATTGATGACAGTCAAAATTGATGATGCCAAAATTGACAGCCAAAATTGACAGCCAAAATTGACAGTCAAAATTAACAGTAAAGATTGACAATGGTCAAAGTTGACAATGCCAAAATTGAGAGCCAAAATTAACAGTCAAAATTAATGACACCAAAATTCACAGTCAAAATTGACACTGCCAAAATTGACAGTAAAAATTGACAGTCAAAATTGATGACACCAAAATTGACAGTAAAAATTGACAGTCAAAATTGACAGTAAAAATTGACGCCGCCAAAATTGATGGCCAAAATTGACAGTCAAAATTGATGACACCAAAATTGACAGTAAAGATTGACAGTCAAAATTGATAGTCAAACTTGACAGCCAAAATTGACAGTCAAAATTGACAATGCCAAAATTGACAACAGTCAAAATTGACAACGCCAAAATTGACAGCTAAAATTAACAGTCAAAATTGATGGTCAAAATTGACAGTAAAAATTGACGCCGCCAAAATTGATGGCCAAAATTGACAGTCAAAATTGATGACACCAAAATTGACAGTAAAGATTGACAGTCAAAATTGACGGCTAAAATTGACAGTCAAAATTGATGACACCAAAATTGACAGTAAAAATTAACAGTAAAAATTGACAATGGTAAAAATTGACAGTTAAAATTGATAACAGTAAAATTTGACAGTCAAAAATTAACAACTAAAATTGATGGTGAAAATTGACAGGGAAAATTGTCACTAAAATTGACAGTCAAAACTGACTTAAGAAGCCAGTGCTGTCACAACTATACTTTTTCTTTTCCATAATGAGTGACCTGCTGAGACATTTGAGCTAAACACTCAATAGTCTTTTGACTTGGTACCCATGCTTTCTCAAAGTCAGACTGATTGAGCACTTATACTGTTTGGTCTCTTCCTGCAGCTTTATACTGATATGTCTTTATGGCAGTTCTGTACTAATTATAATAAAAGGCCTCTATCTGTGCAACTTTCAACCACTGCTGCATATATCTCTAACACCATGCATGTTTTTCCTGCTTTCTCATCAGACTTTCTGGGTCAGAATTCTCCTCAAGATTCATTCTGGTCACTCTGAGCCCAAGCAGTATCAGATTGCTGTTGGGCTGGAGCTGAGAGCAAGACTGCCAAAATCAAGTTACTCTTGAAAGATTCATGCTCTGGACCTGCTGTCTCTCTGTCTCAACAAGAGCCTGAATGTGCAACACAAGCTGGAATGTAAGCCACTTGCAGTTAATATGCAGCTGGCTTGCAGATTTGCTCTCTTTTTGTATGAATAAGTATAGAACATGATGTTTAGCTACAGTAGTCTGAAGATAGCAGCTCAGCTCACTGAAACATACACCAGCAGCTAGCAAAAAGACTTCTGGATTGAGAGATATTGCTGCAGAAACAAAATATTGACTCTGTTCAATGGCAAGCCAGACATCAAGATTACTGGAGACTGAGGAAAGAGCCACATCCAGAGATAAAGATTGACTATCAGCCTTCCAACCTGCCAGAGACAGCTCATTAATCATGTCCAGCTTAATAATGGTGAGTTCTGGCCAGTACTGCTGAAGGTAGTTGACCAGTTCTGGATGGGTGCTAGCCCAGCTTCACAGTTTTTCTTTCTTTCCACATGTCCAGAAGACCACTGTGCTTGAATAGAGCAAGATCCAGTGGCTGCAGATGAAGATCTGCTTCACAATTGTCTGTCACTCACAGGCCTGCTGAGTTCCATACACACTGACAATGATATCAAAAAACTGGTGAAAGAGAATCTGGTACTGCTTTGACTCCCAGTATTTATGTAGCCAGTTGCCATTCCCATCATTATTCCAGTTCCAGAGTTATGTAAAGAGCATCTTAATGTTCCTGACTTTCATTCTGGAGTCTGTAATGAACTGAATATCTTCCCAAAAGTAGGAATTTTGAAAGATTTGTGAGATACCAGCACAGGTGAGTGGAATTTCATCATTATATGCATTCTCAAGTCTAGTGAAATAGAGTAGCTGTTAAATGATACAGTCAGTCAGACTTCTGAAGATATTCTTCTGGAAGGCTCTCAGACAGAGAGTCACCAGCAGCTGCAGCAGCAGTACAGAGCAGGCAGAATCTAGATAAACATTCAATATGCAGCTGAATACATCATGAAAGAGCATAAAGTCAGACTTGGACTTGATCAGTTACTGGTACTGCTGGTGGTAGACTATCTGTAGAGTTGGGGTGTTGAAGATCATGTGTACTCAATGTGATGGCTTGAATGTCATGACCATCTAGTCAAGCTTGTCAAGAAACCAGGCATAGTCATACAGCTTCAGTGTGGATGCCATCTCAAGACTCTTCTGAATCTGCTTCATATCAGAATTCTCTGGGGGTAATTGTATCCAGCAATCAAGCTACAGATTATTGCTACAGCAGAGGTGGTTGCTCTGGTCTCTATACATGTACAGAAGATATTGAAGAAACATTATTATTATCTGAGTGTATTTCCAGTGTATTACAGTATGTAGCTGCAGGCTGTAGATCATCTTAAACTCAGTACACAGCTTGTTGATATTTCACTATAGCTACTCCAGAAGCTGGTCAGTGCAATAGTTGAGGAAGAGTACTGAGTATTAGGGCACAACTGTAAGATGATTAGCTAGATTACTTTTCCAGAGAATTCAGTTCATGACCTGCAGAACAGCAGCAGTGATCTAGTACTTCTCTCAAGTTCCATAGAATTACTGGCAGCAGTCAGAAATGATGACATGGCATCATCACTTGGTGTGGATGTACACATGCAGCAAGGCCAGAGAGAAATAGCTGATGATCTTTCTAATATGCTGCCAGATCCATACCAGTTCAGTATCCAGAGTCAATATGTCCAGATTCTTATTTGCAAACAGGAAATGCTGGCTGGCTGTAAAGATCTTCTTGATGATGTTGTAGAACTGACAGTAGAGCAGACTCTGATGGTGAAGTGGGGAGCACCAGTGCAGCTCTAGTATCATAAACTCCAGATCATGCAGAAATGACAGCAGATAGAACTGCTTGCATCAGAACTCTTTCTGTAGACATTCATGTTCTGAATTAGAAGTCTGAGTATCAGTAACCAGTGTATCATCTGCTGAATGTTCATTCAGATTGCTGGTACTCTTTTCATCTTTATCTTTACTGTTCTTACTGAGCTCTGGCTGGTATACATCTTCATTCTCACTCCTGCATGCCAGCTTCACTGACTGGTGTTAGATGTGGCTGGAGTCTGAGACCTCAGATATCACTCTTTACTGAATATGGCTGCAAAGTCAGCAGAACTGTTGAAGCTGGACAGCTGCTGCTGGATAGTTATTGTTGATTTGCATCTCTATTAAATTGTCTGGTGAGCTATTAGACTCAGATAAAGTGGGAGAAGAGATTCTTTGTGCAGCTAGCAAATCTCTTAGTCATTCACAGAAATAATTCAGACAGCAATATTATTAAATAAATGTGCAGGATATATGTGTTAGCTTCTGGTGTAACAGAAAGCTTCAGGATGAGACCATCTTCTTGTCAATATTATAAAAGCTGGTAATCAGATAGCACTCATCTACAGTCTGATTCCACATGCAAAAGAAGGCATCATGCATGCCAGACCAGATAATATGCTGGATTAAGAGCTTCAGATTCTTAGCAGTCAGAAGAAGCATGAGTTCCTGAAAGTACTGAAGCTCTGAATCTTGAATGATTATCTGCACATGCTTCCAGAGATAGTGAAGTTCTGCTAGCTGTAGTGAAAAGTGAAACTTCTGCATCTGTAACTACTTATAGAAAGTCTGATTGCAGTCTTCTGCTCAAGCTGCAGTAGAACTGAGCTAGATATATACAGTACTGAATGACAGATGAAGAAGTATGAATACAGAATAAATATGGTGGAGAGCCAGAAGAAAAATCTTGTCTGTTCAGAGAGTATACTTCTGCTCTGTAATGATGTAATGCTGGCACTGGAAGCTGAAAAGCTGGAGGAAGAGAATGTAGATCTCAATCTCAGAGAATTCAACCAGTTATTCAAACAGAAGATAAGAGATCTGATAAACTGGTCTCTGGAACTGACAGACTCTTTCAGTCTGCTCATCTCTTCACTAGACTGAAATGAGATTCAGATGAAGAGAACTCTTCAGATTGCTTGTCAGGAACTAGTTAGCTTTTCATTGAAATCTCTTATGAGTCACTGCAAGACTTGAGGCCAGACCACCAGCACTATCAATGTCAATCATGACATGCAGAAATGCTGGCATCAGGATGGTATCATCTTCCAGATCAATAATTGCAGGGCATGAAGATACTTTCTCATGAGCTAAAGACTCTACTGATGTGCACATTCCACTGTATAGTCTTTGGCACTGATGAACTGGCAGGATGGTGTCCTACTGTATAGAATAGAAAGACATGCTGGCATGCTCTAAGATATCTGAACATTTCCAGCTTGCCATCTGTAAGAGAGATACTGTTGGCATGGAGAGCAGCTTCAATGCAGCATGAGCCTCAGTAGAGCACCCATGATGGGTCTGCAGCTGTATCACCAGCTTCTGTACAAGTGTGTTGTCTTCTTCTGTTAATTTTACTATATTTGTAGGCAGAAAGAATTCATGATCCAATCTTGATTCTAATATACTGGAGCTGGACAGGCCTGAAGACATTAGTAGTGGTGCTGGATCTAGAATGTAGTTAGAGATTTAAAATGCTTGATTATCTTATTCTGTTGCAGATAACTGATTATTCTTACTGCTGCTGGATTCTGCTAGTAATGGAGGGCTCTTGTACTCTATTTTGTCAGACTCAGACTCAAGTAATTCTTCTTCAATTATGTCTGGTGGCTCAGAGCTTTTACACTCAACAGATACTGCATCAAGAGCTTTCTGTAGATTCACAAACATATAGAACAAATTCTCAACAGGCTGAAAAAGATTAACTCTGCTTTGGGGATTGCAGATCAAGAAGATATTCTGAAATAATATTAATGTGCTTGCTGATGTAACTGCTTGCTGCTGCTGTTGTCATCTTTAATATGCTTGCACTTGTGTCTGAACTGCATCTCTCTCAGTTGCATACTTGCATAGCTATCTACAGCCCATGCTAACTGGAGTGGTTTTGACTAATATGCTTGCTGTATAAAGAAATTACAGAGAATGCACTGGAATAATATTGAATCTGAAGTGTCTGAGCCAGAGTCTTGAGATGATGAGATTTTGGCTTGGCTTACTGAATGAAATGAATATTTATAATAGATCAGAAATGCCACTCTTCTGATTATCTCAAGCCTATAAATTTATTAAAAATGTCAGTCTCTTTCTTCTGCTAACTTTGAGCCTACAAAATAAAGCTCTGTTTTCTTCATTACTTTATCACAATCATCTTAGATCATCTCTTTGATAGTCTGAGACTTCATTCAGGTCCCTTCTCTTCTCTTTCCTGTTCTTCCAGTTGTTGAACAGATTATCATCAACCATAATAGCTCAGAGACATTCCAGCACCCAGTCACAATCTCTCAGTACAGAGACAGAGCCATGCCTTCTCAGTGCTTTCACTGTACTTTAAAGAAGAAAAGCAAGAAGAACATCAAATCAGCTCCAGTCTCTGCCATTAGTGATAGCAGGAAGCAGTCAACACCCACTGTTGAACAGTTTTCTGTCAAGCAACATTATGGTCCTGTATATACCATCCATTAACAGGTGGTTCTGGATAAAGGTCTTGCCCAAACCACTTCTTCCAATGAGAGTATGCCATTTCTAAGTTCCATGGGTGTTCCTGCATGTACATCATACAATGGCAAGCCCAATCTGAAAAGCCAGAACTAATGGCTATCTAGCTCTCAATCAGTAACACCAGAAGAGATTTTAACTTCTAAGAATTCCATTTCATATCAGGCAAGCAACAGGCACTCAGAGATGATCTGTCCAGAGAATAGAAAAGAAAAAGCATCTAGATTAAGCTGGAGTCCAGTCTTGAAGAACAGCTGCTTTCAGAAATAATCAAGACTCTTGCTCAGCAGCTCTCAAGTGTCAACACCAATTCAAATATCAGAGAGAGAGTAAAAGACATGAGAACAGTTCTTCTGCTTGACTGACAACTCTTCTGATACTGACACCAGCTATTCTGGAAACCATCATCAACAAGCAAGCATAATTGGTTCATTAGCAGCATACTTGATATTAACTTCAGACCTGGATGTGAATCTGAATGGATGGGATCACATTAATAACTCAGTATAAAGGGGTTCAAGAGAACACTTGCTTTATAGACAGCAGAGAGAGATCAGATATATGAAGAAGATGGTAGAAAGAAGAGCAAATTGCAGAAGCAGACATTACAGATAATCATGCATTCAAACAAGATAATCTGTTAAAGAGACCACAAGACTGGTGCAGCTGTAGAAGAGATACAGTAACAACTGAGCTTTAATTAAAGAGCTGGACAAGAATATGCCTGAGCCCAGGCTGTGGAACTGTATACAGGTGGATCTTAAGAATCAGATGCAAAATGTGAAGATTGATCTTATAAGATATGCAGTGGCCTTCTGTATGGGGCAGTCTGGTCTTGTAAACTAACATTTGATTACAGAAGAGGCAATCCAGTACTGGATGACTACTGTCAGATTCATCTAGATAACTGGCACCTGAAATCAATTGCATGAGGGCAGCTAAGATAACAAGAATGAGAATAGCTTCCAGGCACTCTAGCATGGTTGGACAAGTATTATGAACCCAATGAGATAGTTGGGGAAAGGTTTCATATACAGTACAGCAGAAGGAAAGCAGCCTATTAAGCTGACTTAGAGAAATAGTTGTTTCAAGCTGATTAGATACTTTGCTTGTGAAGCCACTGCTGAACATGCTGCATAAAATTTGGCAATTCTGGCTTGAATTATATGCATCCATTAGCAAATCACAGTAGCAGGAAATATCATGCTGAAAACATCAGAATAAGAGTAAAAAAAGACACTGTAGCAGATTCAAGATAATACAAGAAAAGCTGAAGAGAACAGATTTATAGAAGAGAAGACATGCAAATGATAAAATCCAGACTTCTGTCACTCAATTCAGAGAATCCATCTTGCAGTTAATGTTTGCAGATGAAAACCAGCAGTTGAAATTGACAATAGTCAAAATTGACAGCCAGAATTGATGGTTAAAATTGACAGTAAAAATGGACAACAGCTAAAATTGATGATGCCAAAATTGATAGTAAAAATTGACACAGTCAAAATTGACAACAGTAAAAATTGACAGTAAAAATTGACAACACCAAAATTGACGCCAGCCAAAATTGGTCACGGCAGTCAAAATTGATGACGCCAAAATTGACAGTAAAAATTGACAGTCAAAATTGACAACAGTAAAAATTGACAGTAAAAATTGACAACAGTAAAAATTGACAGTAAAAATTGACAACAGTAAAAATTGACAGTCAAAATTGACAACAGTAAAAATTGACAGTCAAAATTAACAGCAGCCACAATTGATGACAGTCAAAATCAGCAGCCATGACTGACAACAGTGAAACTTGATGGCTAAACTCAATAGTTAAAACACATCTTGTGCATCTGCAACAGGTTCAGCTCATTGAAAACCAGCAGTCAAAATTGATAATAATGAAAATTAATGATAGAAATTGGTGCTCAACACTTACAGCCAATAGTCTGCAGCCTCATTCTTTGAAGAAACTGTGTTCCAGTTGATATTAGTGTTAGCTGTTATTGATGGCCAACATTAGTGGTTAGAATTGATCAGAGAGAGCCAGTATCACTATAAGTAACTCAAATCAAACATGTTCAGATATTCTGCTGCATCATGCTTAAGGACTGTAGAGCTTCAGCAGTGTCTCAAGCTCTAGACTGGAAAAAGAGACTCAGCATCAGCATGTCATGACACATTATACACATCTCTGGACAAGAGGATTCTTCTTCTTGAATGAAAGGCCACAGGTGCCATACCAACAGTTGATGGTATCAGAGAATATGCTGGCACAAATTTGATAGGGTGCTAATATTAGCCAGTCACACCATTACCAGACTGAAGGCTCATTGGCACATCCAACTATCAAGTATTCAGCATCAACATAACTATAATGGGAGATATGATAGATGGCTTTCAGCTGAAATTGCTTTAATTGGACCTAACTACTGATCTATTCAATTCTGCAGAACAAATCATCTAGAATAAACAGTCATGATTGTTCCATATATTTCTAATAATATTCAGACATCTTGACAGAAGTGCTGCATGGTTCTTGGGTGTTTCTTTTTAAATTTTACAGCCATACAGCCATGCCAGGTCTCATACTGTATTCAGATTAAATATATCTTGAACTATGCCAGCCTCTCTCTGCAGCAACATCACTAGTTCATTGAAACTCTTCTGTATTGCCTGCCAGTCAAGAATGTTGCTTTTGATCTGGATATCTCTGCACACCAGGCAGTAGATATATGTGACCTTGTTCATCTGTCTATAGTGGTGGATGTGTATCTTGCCCTGGATCTCATCTCTCTCCAACCAGCTCAGGCTCAGCAGAATAAGTCAGAAGACACAAATACAGATGTAGTTTATGTCTAAAATCTTCAGAGTGCTGATCAGAATGCCTGAACTGGTATTAGTCTTATCTTCAGGCAGTGGCAGGTTCTGATTGAAGATATTAATGCACATGTCTCAGTTCTCAACACTTATACTGCTATAGACTGCTGTAACACAGTAGTTTTGCTTCTGCAGCCACTGTGTGGAAAGTTAGCTGGGGAAGAAAACACAAGAAAAGAAGATATAGTAATCTACCATCTCAAGCATGTGAATCATGTGGGGGAATTCTGTCAGAATAACAATCTTCTCTGGGCACTCATGATAGTCTCTCCCCATGCCCTGCAGAATGTGTTGAATCACATGATACTTAAAGCTGGAATTGGTCAGAGTATCAATTGCATGAATGTATGGTATCTTCTTGTCTTCACCAGCATGTCATCTGTTCTCCATCATCTTCTTATCAGTAAGCTTGAGCTTGTGTTGCTCAGTCTTCATAAGATCCAGAAGGGCTGGAAAGATGACAATAATCTGGTTTATGTGTAACTTCTTGAAAAAGATCTGGCTGGAAAGCTCAGATTTAGATTCTTGACTATACTTCTTTCATTCCTGCAGGCTTCTCATGTAGTTGTCTTTTAGTTTTTGAATTTCATGCTGCTCATGCTGCTGGAGCTTGTCTCTGATCTTGAACTCTAGGCTGCAGAGAACATCATAATGGTGGTTGTGGGGCAGCTTCATAATGAGTTTGTTGAACCAACTTGTCTCAGTAGTGCAGCAGATCATCAGATACTTGAGCATCTGACCAAACTGGTGTATTGCTGACTAGAACTCAATCTGTTCTGTTCTGAACAGCTGCTTCTTGCTAATCAGTAGCTGTACTATGGCTGAGAAAGTCTTTTATTGATTGAATTTGGCAAATTGCAGTCTGGTGTCATTACTCCATTCATCAGAGGCCAGTATCATCATCCAGAAGAGCATGTTTGTTGGTTCTTTATTGTATGGTGTCCTGGAGAGCAGTCAGGTGGCTGAAGCATAGTCTTGCTTTTCTGTAGCTACATTGATCTCTTGAAACTATCTAATGGTCTTGCTGTCAAAGTTCTTCTTCTGGTAGCATTCATCTCAGATTACAGCTTGTCATTGCAATTGCTGAATATCTTGTTTCTGAATGTCATGAAAAGGTATCATCATACAGCTGGAGAGCAAGCTCAGTATAGTCAGAAACATGTACTGATAATTCTGCTGGAAATTCAGATCATGTTGTCTCAGTGTTGCATGCTGTGTGGTCTGTATGAACACATGGCCCAAGTTGCTAATCTTTGTAAGAGTTAAGTCTTCATGATCAATAAAGAGATTCAGTTTCAGACAGTTCTCTGAATTACAGAGAATAGAGTTGACTTACTCTCTTGCTCAGAGAAGAAGAAGATCTTTGGACACTATCACCAGCATTGCATCTTACAGTAGTTAACTCAGATAGCATGCAGTCACTCTATCTGGAATACAGCCACACAGAATGGAGAATATATTCTGAGAGAGATATCTTAGATAATGCTGCTTTGAACTCTCATGTTCTTCTTCTGTGTTCATGACTGCAGGAAGATGCTTGTTGGTCATTGCAGAATTCTTACAGTACTATTTGATGTGCAGATGGTTGTAGATGATTCAGATACTCAAAACAAAGTACAATATCATCTTTATAGTTTTGTCAATTTCCATCTCATTAGCAATGAATTCATCTTGCTCTAACTCTTGATTCTTGAGAAGCATCCAGAATGTGCAGTAAAGCTGATGAAGTAAAGTGTCTTACAGCATGCTACAGATAAGAATCTTTCTGATTAGATTTATGCTGTCATTTTCATTCTGCAGAAGCATGAAGAAACTGGTGAAATCTCATCATGTTTAGCTGTTCATCTGCTCACATCAAAATCTGCCAGACTTGATGAGTTCCACCAGATTAACTTGCTCAGTATTACTCTCATTACTAATTTGTGACTCAGGTTCCAGTTGTATCATCTTGTCAAGAAACTCATAATCTGTGTTCAAGAGTAAAGTGTCATCACCATTAATTATCTCAACATCTGAAGAGCAGTGCTCTTGTTGAATTTTACAGAGTAGAGTTAGTGGGCTCTCTTTTTGAATTTCACTGGATGAAGCTGGCAGATATTCATTTTAAATTTCACTGTTCTTGATTAATGCTGATGTTGTTCTTGAAACTGGCCACTCAATCATAATATGTGCAGGTGTGAAGTCACATTTATAGTTATCTCTGATCTAAATCAGACTATCTTGAGGATTCTGAACTTCAGTAAAGGCAGTGGGGATAGTGTCTGGATTTGATGAATCTATTACAGTGTCCAAGTCCATTGAAGTGTCTGAATAGTTGGCTATGCTATTAATTTCTTGTTGAATTTCATGGGGTAGAGTTGGTGGGCCCTCTTTTTGAATTTTACTGGGTGAAGCTGGTGAATATTCATTTTGAATTTTGCTGTTCTTGATTGGTGCTGATGTTGTTCTTGAAACTGGCTGAATCAGACTATCTTGAGAATTCTGAGCTTCAGTGAAGACAGTGGGAACAGCATCTGAGTTTGGTGAATCTATTACAGTATTCAAGTTCATTAAAGTGTCTGAATGGCTAGTTATGCTATCAATTCCATTGAAGTTATTCTACTAGTCATAATGTGGCTCATTAACAGTCATGTTCACATGCATGCTGTCCTGGGGGCTGTCTTGATTGTGTCAAGAGAGAGGACAAGAGAAAGACAGTGTAGATGCAAAAGATGACAAGCATGTGATAATTCAGTATCAGCAGGTTGCAGATATATTATGGTGCTTATTATTATCTAAGAACTCTGTCTCTAAGTCTTCAGATATGTTTTCATCATTGTTGGAGCCAGTAACTGATGCAATTTATCTTTTTTGAATTTTACAGATATAGATGAGCTCCACATCTCAGGCAGTAATTATAAAGTTGAGAATCAGAGATTTATCTGTTTCTTTACTCAGAATCTTCTCCAGCTGCATCATATACATCAATTGCTACAGTTGCTTGTTGATGATGGTGACCTGCTTATTCAGACTCTTGATGATCTGAGAGTTGCAATAAAATTTACAGTCAGTAGTCAGAATATTCTGCTACTCTGTTTAATTCTTCTCAGAGAGTGTTCTCTGTCTGTCTAACATGCAATGTGATGGCAATTCATTAATCTGGCAGACTGACATATAGCCAGAGATCATGTTTCTGATAAAGATAATGGCTCAGTAGAGTTCTTTGACCACCAGCATCAGAGACTTGGCCAAATCTGGCACATACCACAGAGTGCTTGATATAGTGGGACAGATCTCAAGAGATTCAAGTGCAGAGAGAAAAGATGTTGATCTGAAGGCAGCTGTAGCTAATAATGGCTGCTGAACAGATATTAATGAGAAAATTCAGAAACTTACAGACTTGAGAAATGAATCTTGCTGAATATTATATTACTGTTGTCTTGTTTTCTGGTACTGGACCTGCACAATAAGCCACACAAGCACTCCACAGATATTCTTACAGTTAGACTCACTCTTTCAGGCCTGCAGAATCTTGTTGCTAAAGCTCTCTTAAGAAATAACATGCTCCACTACAGCAATCCAGCTCTTCTTCAGCACTCTCTTAGCTATTACTTGATGGAGAAGGCTCTGGATTTTCTTGTTATAAAGCTCTTGCATGATCTTTTTCAGATCAAGTAGCTTCTTCACTGTCAAGCCAAGCATGGCTTTAACATGAGTCTCATTCATTGTTATCATGTTGTACTGGAAGGAATATCATGTCAGTGTTTCTTAATCTGATGTCATGCAGAAATCAGGCAGTGATACAGCAAATCTTTTTGAATTTCACTATCTTTCCAAAATGAAGCAGGATCTTGACTTTATGATGTGTAATTCTTGATGCTGGATGGCTGCTCAATCTCTTATAATGGTTCTTGACAGTGATTCAGCATCTTCAGATGTTCAGTCAGCTCTGATCTTGATGTCTTACAATGCTTAAGTAAGTGATGCTGAACTTACAATACAGCTATTAAATACTGGAAGGAACAATCAAAAGATTTCAAAGTCAATGCAATTGTGGTTGAGAAAATTGTCAGAATCAGAAATGTTGTGAGTGAGAAGTAAAGTCTGAAGCAAAGTGTTGATGTGAAGTAAATGTAAACATTACAGAATTTCTCTGATTCTCTAATTATATTAGACTCTTATTATGAATGTCATTTGCTGTAATTGATGACTCATCATTATTTTTGCTTCTCAGTCTGTTCTTAATTCTACACATTAAAAAGTCATCCAAGGCCTGCTCCATAATATCTTGCCAATCACTGCCAATTCATCTTCTATTACATTTTCATTGTCTTACTAAGTGCCTGTCTGTCCAGGTGGCACAGCTGGGCAGCATGAGCTGCAGATACTAGATTCATGAAAAATGTCAGCTTAGTGATTACTGCAAGTTCCAGTACAGCCTGTCAACACAAGCATCTGGAGATGACATCTCAAGTAAAATTAAAAAAAAGAAGATAGCCTATTGCAAGTTCTGGCTGAGGAGAAACTGCATTCAAGAAACAAAATACTGATTTGAACATGTTCCAGCAGAAAAGAAATATGCTCTGCAGAATAAGTATAGTAAAGATATGGACTCAAGAGTTCTATTTTACATCAATTTTCTTGATCATGGCTGACTAGAGTACAGAGCTAGACTACATGTATGAGTGTTCTGTCTGTAGAAAGACAACAATACCCACAATCTTTCCAGTACTACCAAACTGCATTTATTACATTTATCCAGATAAGAGACTCTGTTTAGTGATGTGCTTGTTGTAATACTGATGCTGATGGAGGCCTACAGAGTATATCACAATCATTCAAGAACAGAACAAGAATGAATTGCTCTGGATACCAGACAACAATCTACTGAAAAACAGAGAATGTTGCCTACTGTATCATTTATCTATCTATTTTGTTGTGATGGCCTCAGTCTGGCCACTTACTGAAGACAAGCACTCAGCTGCAATCAAGCAGTATCTGAGACATTAAAAGAAAACATCATGCCAGTTCTTTAAAGCCAGCTTCAGGAAATGAAGGCAGAATGAGTATAAGACAGAGTATCTTTATTATCTCCAGAGGAACAGATGCCACTTCAAGCACTAACTTTCTGGTTCAATCACTCTCTTCCACTTTAAATGATCTTTTGTGCAGGCAATGATGGACCAACAGCAGAAGGTGAGAAGAGAAAAGACACTAGAAGTGTCTTCAGAAATGGCTGGTATCTAGTTAATTTCAGACATCTATAACATTAACTCTGATGAGAACTCAGAGAATGGAATGCCCATGACTGAAGAAGAAGATCAAGAGCTGATAATTATAAGACAGACTCTCTCAAGAGCTGAGTTACTTACATGGGTTATTGATAGAGAATTTGAACAGATATATCAACATGTACAGCTGGAACAGAAGAGACAGGCACAAGAGAATCATGAAGGGCAGCTACTTCAGCCATATTAATTCTGGTAGTGCAGCACCAACAGTGAAATTCAAAAACCAATAGCTAATACAGAGATGAAAATTCATTCTAATTTCAAGATTTTGTGCTTGTTTATCTTTCTTAATTTTTTTGATGCAGCAGGGAAAGTGACTGCAAATGTTTGCCATCAGTTTTGATCATCAATTTTGACCATCATCAATTTTGGTGTCATCAATTTTGGCATTGTCAATTTTGACCATCATCAATTTTGGCTGTCATTAATTTTGACCATCATCAATTTTAACCAACAATTTTGGTGTCATTAATTTTGACCATCAATTTTGACCATCATTAATTTTTACCATCAATTTTGGTGTCATCAATTTTGGTATTGTCAATTTTGACCATCATCAATTTTGGCTGTCATCAATTTTGGCATCATCAATTTTAACTGACAATTTTGGTGTTGTCAATTTTGACTGTCAATTTTGGTGTTGTCAATTTTGACTGTCAATTTTGGCATCATCAATTTTGACTGATGATTTTCACCATCATCAATTTTTACTGTCAATTTTGGTGTTGTCAATTTTGACTGACAATTTTGGCATTGTTAATTTTGACCATCATCAATTTTGGTGTCATCAATTTTGGTGTTGTCAATTTTGACCATCATCAATTTTGGCTGTCATCAATTTTAACCATCAATTTTGGTGTTGTCAATTTTGACCATCATCAATTTTGACCATTGTCAATTTTGGTGTTGTCAATTTGGACTGTCAATTTTGACCATTGTCAATTTTTACTGTTAATTTTGGTGTCATCAATTTTGACTGTCAATTTTGGCATTGTCAATTTTGACCATTAATTTTGACCATCATCAATTTTGGTGTTGTCAATTTTGACCATCAATTTTGGTGTTATTAATTTTGACCATCAATTTTGACCATTATCAATTTTGGCTGTTGTCAATTTTGGTGTTGTTAATCTTGACTGTTAATTTTGGTGTTGTCAATTTTTGCTGCCATATTCAGTTTTGACTGTCCTGACCATCATCAGCTTTGGACTGCTATCAGTTTTGACCAGTTTTGCCTGTTGGTAAAAATCACTACCACTAAGCAAAAAATCTCTTGCATGAGTTGGTTTGGAGTATGAAATCTTGGCAACAAAAATTAACTCTTGTCTGAGGTTGGTGTTGGATAATTATTTTTCCAACCCAACAAAATTCTGCAACAGAAATATCACTAAATTCACAACAACATCATGCACCTCCTGCAATCTCAATAGACAAAATTAAACCACAATTTTTGAATAGCAAAAAGATCTCATGGAGAGGATTCTTTTGGTGGTAATTTTAATTGAAACCACCCACTGGTTGTGGAGAAAAAGGCCATGGAACAGAAATTACAAATTGGGTTAGCATGAAAAAGAATGCTAACCCAATTTGAATTTCCATTATATCTACATTTTTGCCAATAACTTCACAACCATCTATCATACAGACATAAGAGTACCACCATTTGAATTGTCTCAGCAAGCTGGTTAGAATGGGCCTATTTCTGTTAAAAAATATAAACTTTTGAATGTTATGTTTTAGTCACTATTTGGCCTATAGATTGTTTTTCCGTTACCTTTTATATGTTTGCCAATAACTCCACAACCATCCATCATACAGATATAAGAGTACCACTGTTCAAATTGTCTCTCTGAGCTAGTTAGAGTGGGCCCATTTTTGTTAAAAAATATCAACTTTTGAATCTTATGTTTTACTCACTATTTGGCCTATAGATTGTTTTTCCGTTACCTTTTATATGTTTGCCAATAACTCCACAACCATCCATCATACAGATATAAGAGTACCACTGTTCAAATTGTCTCTCTGAGCTAGTTAGAGTGGGCCCATTTTTGTTAAAAAATATCAACTTTTGAATCTTATGTTTTACTCACTATTTGATCTATAGATTCTGTTGGTCAATTTTGGCATTCTGACATTCTCACACACACTCTTTTCACAACTCAGTTAATTCTTGTTCAAAATAGACAACACCATATTCAGTTAAAAGCTATTTCTCCACCTAACAACCTCTCTAATTTTCATGTAAATTGCCTTGCCAGTTGTTGAGATATAAGTGGAAATAAATAGTGCCAGCCTCATGCCTGTCAGAAACACTTCTCATACTATTACTCAGTGACCATATGATCTTTTGATCTGAATGTTGAGAGACAAGCTCAATAACACTCTTTAAACAAACTACTAAATTTTCTTTACTATATCTCTACTATTTGCTGTGTTATTACACTCTTTTTATCTGAAAAATCTCTCACTGGACACTTTCTGATTTTGATTTTCCTTGCCAAGATTCTTGCTTACTCACATTTTGTTGAGCTGTGTCAAGCTAAGCTAGAGCTCTTATCTTATCTTATCTACTTCCATCTTATCTCTCTACCCCTTCTCATCTGATCTTTGCTCTCCAGGCCTCACACCAGCACTAAATCAGCTCTATCAACTTGATACTCTTGGTATAGCTAAGCCAAATTGATCCCTGCAAATTCTGACCAATCTCTACTAAATTCTAGTATGTTCTATACTGTTTGGTAGCTGAGAAATCAGAATTAATTAGTGAAAAATAGCTTTTCAAATACTTAGAGTAACTAAGTTTTTGAACTAGGAACAAGCTTGTAAGAATTCACCTGCAAACCTCTTACACAGACAAACAACATCTGTAAGAGCCCAGGACCTCAGCTTGTGAGCTGTTGGGAGTACATGTGTTCTTGCAAGGCACTAAGTCATGTGCTTGCAAGCACACATAAAAGACTGCTACTGTGTGAACCTCTTGTTGGAAGCCAGTGGCAATCTTGTCTACAAGTTGTATATAGTTGCTAATACTAGACCTTTTATCTTGCATACTTTTTTCCACATACAATTCCTCCTATAGATTCATTGTAATGCTGATCCACATCTGAAGAGCAGGGACTCTATTGGAATATCTCCACCATGCAAAAAATTTCAGTTATTGGCTCATCTTCCTGCCTATTTAAGGTATCAATGGACAAATCTTCAGAAAATTCCTCTGGTATTATAATCATTACTGAAGAACAGACACTATAAGGGAGACTTGATGTGCTTCCAATCTCTGCCCATGTCTTCAATCAAGAGATTATGTCTGGTGGTTTGGGAAAGTCTTGGGCAAAAATAAGTATAACATCACTGAACAACAAGAGCAGCTGACCAAAAAGAATGTCAAAAGGTGTGGCTGTAGGTGGTAGGGGCTACCTAAATTGGTAGAGTCTAGCCTCCCTGTCAAGCTTGCAGTTTGTCCATGATGATAACTCAGGGAATGGGTTGCTGTCAACAATCAGGACTGGGCTGTCATTATCAACTGTAAGAGGATCCAGGTGGAGGTATATGGGTCCCCATTCATCATGTCCTAGCCCACCATGGAAGAAGAGCTTCTTGAGCACTTTGTCTTTGGCTGCTATGCCCACAAAATGTATCAACCCCGGGAACTGGGCTGCTGGCTGTGGCAATTTTTGGAGCACCTGCCCAAAACACCCAGTGTCCCAAACAACCAGCCCATTGTCTGCTGTAATTCTGATCAGTTCCTTGTTTAAATTCATAGTTAGGTTAACTCTAGATAAAACATTTTCAAACTTACTGCAGTGGTTTCTGAGATTATTTTATTTATCCACAGAACAGATCTAAATTGCTAGGAAGAACATTCTGCAAGCAATACATGAAGCTGGATTTTCAGTTTCTTGGGTGAGGAAACTTTCAAGTCATACCATTCACTTCATCTCTGACAGATGAATGTATTGGATAGGACAGCATCTTATAGAACCATAGGCATCAAGGCTGACTGGAAGGCTGATAACTTTGAGGATTTGGTTGGTTTAGTGAAAAGTAGCTTTGCTACCTATTTTTGTAAGGGTCAAGCACTATCTCCCTTTAGGTCAAGAGACCATCTTGACTGCTTTTACAGCCATGGGTCAAGGCTCTCAGCTCAGATCTTCATTTGACCTGATGTACAGTTAACTAGGAACCATAGTTACAAGGCCACTGCACCCTATTGCTCTGTAAGCAATCTTAACACAAAGCTCAAGACAGCAGGGCACCCAACTTAGTGTCTTCATGGCTGCAGCTTATTCACAATATGATTCAAGGTGATCCATTACTGACTAATGCTCAGATAGCTGTGGCTGCCAACTGCAGCAAGCATGCAATCTCTAGAATCTGCTCAAACCAGCAACTCTTCAGCACTGTTAGATCTCCAAATAAAGGTGGACACCCACACAGCATCTCACCAATTATGCTGGAAGCTCTTTGTGATCATTTGCTTGAAAAGACTGGTTTGTATCTTGACAAGATGGCCATTTTTCTTTGGGATGAGTTCAAAGTGTGAGTGACAACATCTAGTATACATGTGCCCTTTTCTTTCAAGATTGGTTGAAAAAAACAGTGAGACAGAAAGCAAGAGAGCAGAACTCAGATTTACAAGACACATATTTTCATTTCATTTCTGATTTTCACTTGTCTCAGCTTGTTTATGTGGACAAATCAGGGTGTGATCAAAGAATCAGCTTCAGATGCACTGGCTGGTCACCTCTTGGTGTAGCATCATCTCAAATCTCCAAATTTCATCATGATCAATGATATCAGATTCTACCTGCATATGCTTTAGACCATATTATCCTTTCGCGTGTTTTTCAGGGCTTGACTGATGCTTCAGCCTTTGAGGACTTTATTGAAGAGCTGCTCCAGCACTGTGGTCAGTGGCCTGAGCCAAAGTCTGCCCTGGTTATGGACAATGCATCATTTTATCACTCTGGAAAGTTAGAGCAAGTGTGCTTAGAAGCTGGTGTCAAACTAGTATACCTGCTGCCATATTCACCAGATCTGAACCCAATCAAAGAATTTTTTGCTGAGCTAAAAGTCTTTATTTAATGCCAGTGGCAATCCTATGAAGACAACCCTGATCAAGGATTTGAAACCTTCCTTGCATGCTGTGTTGAGGTTGTGAGTGCAAGAGAACAAAGTGTGAAAGGGCATTTTCAGCATGCCAGTCTGTCTGTTGAAGAGATATAATGCAGAGTCTGCAGAAGGTGCTGGTCTCGCGGAAGTCTAATATTATGACTGCTTAATCTGAGTGCCAGAGGCAAAGTGATTAGAGAAATATGTAATAAGCAAAACCCCCAGCAAGACTAAAACAGTATAAATTAACACTACTGTACAGTAATAACTTGCTTTAATAACAATATTTTAATGATAATCTCCAAACTTCAATCCAAAAGACCTTATAGCTACTGTTTTGCTCACAATGTTTGACCTAATCAGCAATATCACTAACAAACCACACATGACACCAACCTTTACACCCTGCTTGACAAAGAAGCCAGGATCTTGGTCCTTGAAGATCTGCTGAAGATCCAAACAGTGATCCAATGCCACATCCTGAGCGATTTTAATATGTTCCTTGTAGACCTCACTACTCACACGCGACTGCTGCCAGTTGGCATATTTCTCTACTGCTACATCAAAGAGCCCATAGACATTGATGGAGGTAGAACTGGTAATGCTAGAGCTTAGCACTTCTGTGCTAACTGATACAGGCCTCACAGCTTGGGACAGCTGTATTGGAAGGAAGCTGATATTGATTGGTGGGCAAACAAATTCCTGAGTAATATGGATGGGTTCTTTCTGTTGTCTCTCTCAAGGTACTGTGCCTCCTCTCTATATAAATCTTCATGAACATCATCAGGAATATCACTGTGTGTCTCTAATATTTTATCTTGTTGGACATATTTGACAAGCCTCTTCAAGTGAACTGTTCTAAGTTTATAATGCTTTTTCCCCACAGGATCTTGCCAGCAGTATTGATCTTCATGGTGATATGGTGAACCAGAACAGCACATTGTTCTGTATACATCTCACCAAGCTGAAGGCTGTCCTGAAATCTGCTCAGCATTGATCTGGGCATCTTGTTCAGAAAGCATTCTCTTGATTACCAATGTGATCTCTCTTTTGTCTTCATTTCTGGAAAGATGTGGGTTGCTGTCATCTATATAGTTAATGGATATATGAAGTCAGCTTCTTGCTACAACAAAAGAGGTTTCCCCACATCAGCAGCTGCTTTTACTTATTCACATCAGGTTGTGATCTGTCATTAACAGATACTTTGATCATGGTTTCATCTGACTTCACTTGTCAATTATGGCCTATTTTTCAACACAGGGACATTTTCAGCAGCTTGCTTTATCTGCTGCCACTGCAAACTAGGTGCTAAGACCAGGTCTTGCTCTGTATCCTTAGACAAAGTTCAGTTGGTTATTAAGAGTTACCCTCCACTCAATGACATAACAGATACAACTACTCTATAGATGGCTGCCCATCAAGAAGCCTGCCATCCTCCTGCTGTGGCACCTGCAGGAAGCCTAGTTGGTTTGGCTGGTGCAAGGGACCAGAGTGCTCATGCAGGGATGGGCAAAAGATGGACAGTGTACCTTTGTGGCAATATAAAGAAGTTCATTTCCAGGAATTGGGTGGCTGAAATTGAGAAGTATGGTCCTCATATTGAGGACTCAACATCATCCTGAGGAGGCAATCTACACCACTGAAAAGCCTAATCAAGAGCAAGAATGTTAGCTGCCATCATGGTGCCCAGTCCTATAGAGGAATATGGCTGACAGTGCAAGATAAAAGGCAAAAGTAATCATGGATGGTTGCATGCTCTCAAAGAGGCATCTCCATTAAATCCAGAACAGGTTCTTGAAAGCCTGTTTGAGGAGCTGATGACAAGGAACCATGACATGGGATGAATGGGAACTTCTTCCACCAGGCCTCAGCCTTGGTAGAGTTTGCCTGTTTTCCATGGAAGCTTCTAGTTTCCTGTATCACCAATACAAGTGTGTTACTATAGTATTGTTTTTTTAAATATGAAAACATAATACAGCTGGAATACTCTGTACTGTACTCCATACTTGAAAATTTTATTTTTTGTTTACATTCCATAAGTGGATTAGCCTTTCTTGGCTCTTGAGCTTGACTGGTTTTGACTCCAGCTGTATGGAGTATAGTTTTATGTTGTCAGAGTTCTTATCAACATTCAGCAAAAACCTTATAGAAGGTGGGCAACTATTTCCACAAATGCATAAGCTCAAGAGAACTGATTCAAAGTTTAGCATTTGTCAACCATCAGCTCCTCCTTTCACTCCACATATGTGTTCTGAGGCATCATGGCCCACTTCATACATTCTCCCAACATCAACACCTCCCCATACTTCTTATAAGTCACAGTATTGCATCCATGGATGATCCTTTTCAGATTCTGGTTGCAGTCCATGGCCTTGAAAGTGGTAGAGCTGATCTTCAGTTCTTGACACTTTAACACCTTGACTTGAAATTTCACTTTGGCTTTGCAATATGCATTGGAACTATAACCAATGCATAAAGTTTCAAGTATATCTCCTAGCAGTTCACTGACTATTTCTCTTCCCTTCATTTTTTCACAAAATTTCTGTCCCAAAATGACTGCATTTTTAACATGTATTGGGTCAGCATATGTACCTGGACCAGTACAATCAATGGGGACTTGTTCAGGATCCAGTACATCACTCAGATTCATGGTTTGTTTAGACATTGTTGTTATTGCTTCTGACATTGTGGGATCTAAGGTCAAAGAAGTCAATCAAGCTGAAGAAGCAGTGAGTGTTACTGTAACCATCTGTGTTTCAGGCAGTTGAGTTTCAGCCTTGCTAGATTTCTCCAGAGTATTTTGTGTAGCATCAGGTTTTGTAAGGCAATTTGCTGCTGCTGTAATTGTTGTTGTTGCCTTCTGATAAGGAATTTAAATGCCCTGTAAAGCATCTGTCATAGTTGTGGTGTGACTTGCAAACTGAGGTGATAAAGTGTTTAAGAGTATTTGCTCCATTATTGTGTTAGAACTGCCAGATGCTGTGGTAGTAGAATATGGCAGCCATTCTAGAGGTGGGCTTTTGCTCAAATCTGCAGAAGTTAGCCAATAATCATTGCCTTTTTTTGGCAAGTTTCCACTGCTAGAGCCAGAGTATTGATCAATGCTCCAAATCATTGTGCCTCTAAAGCAGAATTGACTAGCCCATTGCTTTTTCATTTTAATTGTCTCCAAGTCATCATATCCAATCTACTGGTCACCAAATGTGATTTGTTTCATCATCTTCTTCTGCAATAGCTGGAGTTGAATTCCTTTCTCAGAGATAAGAGTTTCAATCTCTTGCAGTAACATTACACCCCTAGTCATAGTGCAGGACCCAGCATCACTTAAACCAGTCCACTGACAACCAGCCCAGTTACAGCTGGGGTCCTGAAGTGTATAGCCTTGGCCATAATATGCCAGGCCCAGGTTGATTTTGGCTGGATTGATTTTTGCATACCACAGCAGGGAAATCATGTTCTGAATCTCAGATATGTTGATATGGCCCGCAATCTTATGCCCATAATACCCAGAATTATTCCAAGCACCATGGAGATCATATGTTATAAGGCCAAAAAAGTCAACATAATCCTCCATTGCTTTCAGATCAAACCATCATAAATACTAATAGCTGGCTGGAAGGGCAACACTAATGCCATAAGAACTTCTGAAAGCTGCATGCATCTCTTTGACAAGTGACACAAGGTTTTTTGTATCATCTGGTTGGCCATTTCTCTCTGGGGTTCCTGGGCTGGATATTCTATTAGCAATGAGTGACAGAATGAAATATGTCATAGACAAGCATACTATTCCCAATCAATATCAATGCCTTTCAATTTATATTTGGCCATGAACACTTTAACTGATGCAATAAATCTCTGATGGCTATTAGAACATGATGCAAGTTCACTCCATGTTTTCTTTGTTGTGTCCACATCTGTGAATGCCCAGCCTCCTAGTGCTATCCAGATCTCACAGATGTTGGAATTTTTGTGGACAAGCCTGGTGCAAAGGTCCTCATGAGCAGGATTTGCAAGGCTGACCTCAAAATTTGATGGATTAATGCCCGCAAATGCTAGAAAAAGATGAGTCAACCCATCCATGTTTATATTTTCGGGGTCAATCTTGTTGCATTGCTGCATTTTAATGCTATCCAGTTGAAAATAACCAACTGCATGGCATAGCATTGAACCTGAATCACAGTTTGGAGGATGTGAGATAATTTCACATGAACTATAATTTATTTGACAAGAGTTTTCTGAGCTGTTTAGAGAACAAAACTCATGACCTGTCTAAGAGTGTGTTAGCTGTGAGAAAATTTGGTATTGATAGAAAATTCTCATGCTGCAATAACCAGCAGAGGAACAACAAACACCAAGCAGACAAGTTGTGTTATCATCAGGGCTTTCTTTCCCACACATTGCATCAAGGTCCCCTGGCTGCACACCCAATGTTTGTACTGCACAGTGCCTCAAGTTCTTATGGGAGCCCAATTTTGTGCATGCATTGATGCCTGTGTGAGTCTCAAATGCTTGCAGTTTCAGTAACCCCTTCAAGGATTGATGCATGACAGAAAACAAATTATAAGTAGTTTTAGCATATTCAATAGGGCTTGCTAGTGACCATAAAGGAAGTGTGATGAACAAAATCAATGTTTTCCCCATCCTAAATGATAATAAACTCAGTTTTCAAAGATATGATTTGGAGGGGGTATGCCTCAACAATATGTATGTCATCTATAATTGTGGAAAAAAGGCTCCATGCACATCTCTCTTACTCCTGTTTTTGCTGATTTGGGTGGTTCATTCAATCAACCAAAGCCATTTCTCCAAGAAGCCAGATAGAGGGCTACAGAACACCCACATTGAATGACACTTGTAAAATAGAAGTGACTGGGTAATCAGACTTTTTGTACAAGTCCAAAACCCAATTTGTTTTGGAAAGCAGAAGTGAGACATGTCAATTCAGAACATTTAACATGTAAGTAGCAGTAAAAAGGTAAGATAGCAGACCAAAGTTCATGTTTTGTAGTAAGTACAACATTTCTAATACACTCTACAATTTTGGTACCCACCCAAAGTTCTAAGGTCACAACTAAAAAGCCAGGAAGCCGCAACAGGGAGCCAGAAGCTCTAGCTTACTGAATTTGGTTGTTTACATTCATACACATTCAATTTTCAGCTTTTTCAGTTTGGATTACTACTGTACATCAATCCTATTACTCTTGTATTTCCTTTCACACAACTACAGTATTGAATCTTTATCAGGAGTCTGAAAAGGCAGCCGAGGTTGAATGGTGGTAGCCAGAAGTTCAATAGACTTCAATAGAGAATATGTGCACCTCATATCTATAACCTGTGTCTAAGAAGGGAACTGGTCTTTTGTTGCTGCATGCATGTTTAATACACCATAGCTAAATGTAAATAATTGTAGCTACAAAGCAACTTTTGCTTCTTGCAAATCATTATATGATACAATTGGAACTGGGGACTTAGTTATATGATTTGTATGCCTTTATATCATTGTTTTATTACAATGCAACAACACTCCAAAATTTTATGCTAACATACACAACTTAGGCTAATTTTAAAACCTTGTGCAGCAGCAGAGGAGTTGGTGCCTTGGGACCTCTTTAGAAAGGTTGTCCCTCCTGGTTTTCTTGATTTGGATCCATTGATATACCCCAAAACTGCAAGAGATCACATTCAGCAGTATTTAGATCTTGCAACAAGATCTGTACTGCTTCATGTAGCATCTCCATCATCCCTGTTGACACTTTGTACACTTCAACTGTCTTGGTATAGAGCCCCATCAGCACCTGTCACACATTTTGATAATACACAATTTCTGCTTATAATCATCTATTTTCTTTTTTCAGATCCAGTAGCTTCTCTTTTAACAACAGCAATACTCTCTTTGCTTCACCCATCTTTTCCAGCAGGCAGTCAATGCTTGAGGTTCTTCCTCCATGACAAGCAATGATATGGTCAAGATTCATGATGGGGACCTCATCACAAGACTTATAATAACTGCTGGCTGATGACAATCTGGTATTAACAAAACTTTCCTCAGGGATAGTGATCATTTGTCCAAGGGTATGGGGCTTGGACTCCAGTTCTTGGAGTGTAGCATTCAGTTTGATTTCAACAATGCCAGTTTCATTCATCCTGTTGATCATTCTTTACAGATTTCTTGGTGAAATTGACATGTTCTTTTGTTTGGCATCAAACATGATGAAAGTGCGGTACAGCTCAACACTAATTACAAAAACTGGGCTTAAGTCAAGTAATATGTATCCTTAATTCTAGAATCCAGTTGTGTTGGATTTGGAGATCCAAGTGGTTCAGACACCCATAGATTCAAGTCCAGACCCAGCTTGGGCAACTTGAACATACCTGTCAACCTCCAAACATGCAAGGTACACTACATTACATACCCCCAACTTAGATAGTAAGGAATCACCATTCACTGCATTGTTCTTCACTGCCACAGAGAAATGTGGAATCAAGTACTCAGAACCCAGTGAAAATGTCAAAAAGACATGTATGAGGAAATCATCTGCTTTTGCAGAGATATGGTTGCTTTTACAGTGTACTCCATACTCTGTACAGAGTACAAAGTCAAGCATTTGAGGGCCCCACTTTAGCCCAACCATCAAGCCCTAAGCCAAGTCACCCTACCAAGCATATCTCTGCACCATTGGCTGCACAGATTAGCAGAGGGAATCTAGAAATTGCAGAAACTGCTCATCAATTATGACTATTCCTGTTAAATCAGCAGAGTGTTCTTTTCAGTAGGGTCTCTGTGGTTTATTTCCAACTTTTTGTGAATGACAAGCCACTTAGAAGACTCACCTGCTTGCACATTGCTGCAATCTCAGCCTCAATCAAAGACTCACTGGGACCTGGAATATTGGCAAGAGATACATGCATGTTTCCCACATTATTATAGAGAAGAAGGATATCTGTGCCATTGAAGTACATCTTTTGTAGGCCCACTATGTTGTCATGGGATGTGGCCCTCAGGTTTGATGAACTCATTTCAGGAGCAAGCTTCCTCTGCTTAATTGCAACAAGGTTAAATGTGTGCTTGTTCACATGTGTCACTATAGCTGTGCCAGCTTGGTTCCTCCATGAACTAACTGTTGATACTGAGTCCATGACTCTTCTTGCAGAGGAGGTTAGACCCATTGCTGTTCCTGGTCAACAACTTCATGCAACTTATCAATCTACTCTTTCCCTTGTTCTAGCTCCGGGTCACACTTAACTTCACAATTTTCTTATTCATGGACAGCAATTTTTGCAGGGTATCAGCTTGCAGTCAAGCTGCCTGCATAAAGGTTTTAGAGGATTTGTAGCCTGCAAGTGAACTTGTCAGAAAGATCATGTCATATTTGTTCAGCATGATTTAATATCTATACAGCTTCAAGGTGGATATGTGATGATAAATTAAAACATAAGAATGGGTTCAACTGATTGTTAAGATGAACAGAGTACCTTACCCAGAATATATGATTACCAGGATACACACTGGGAGAAATCTAGACTTTCAGATAATAAATGATCTTTAGGAAAAAGTGTGCTCCACATCATATGTCTAGCCAAGTTACCTCCACTCTGCCACTCAGCCCATTTTCACCAGTATCTTTAGTATGAGGAAAAGTCTTCCAATTTAACCATTTCATTATCTTGGGGCTTATGAAGCTCTGGCCCCAAAGCAGATTCATCTCTTGCCACCTGCTCCAGCTGACTTTCAAGCTCACAACAGCATTTGATCTCTTCATATAACTTCTTGAGATCAGCAAGGCGGCAGGCTTTCTCCCTTAATAACTCAGCTACCAAAGCCTGTTGTTCTATTATGGATATTCAGTGGTTCTCCTGCAAATAAGTGAGCTCATTCTGTAGTTGAATCTTTTTAGCCTTTTCCTGCTGATTCATGGCATCCATCTCTTGTAAAGATTGTATGAATTGTGCATTGTGCTGTTGCAGCTGCACATTATGCTGTTGCAGCTGTTCTATGTAGTAGTGTAAGGTCTCTTCACGCGCGAAGAAAATTTTCATGGTCTTCCAGTAGAAAGTCAAATTGGCCTGGTGACTAAGTTAGCATTCTAAAAAGAGTTGTCTCTTATCTTAGAACTTACATTCTGACCAATGTTGACTAAAGATGGCTGGCTCATCTTGTCAAGGAGTATGAAAATCACTTTGCTACAGAAAAGCTGATCTTGTGAAAGTGGATTTAGAGACACCAGGTTCCTTTATATGTCTTAAATTATACCCTGACTCCACATTTATGTCATACAGGGTGAAGTTACAGGCGACTGTAAAAAGAATTACTTTTTGTCAGGATAATTGTTCATCATGCCCTATGTTCATTCTGCTTGATATCAGAAGTCTGGAATTCTCATGCCACATAAAGTTTGATTACAATATAAGATAGATATACTGAGAACCTCATCACTCTAGGGAAAGCATGACATCATATTTATATGTACAGTAGCTAAATAATAGATAGAGTTCTGTGCATTGGCAACAGGAAATACTGTACAGCAGCCTAAAAGCTATCTTGCAAGCCTTATGCTGACATCTCTGGCCTGCTACACAGAGAGTACAACACAATTGCTGGTGAATTATTTATTGTGAATATTTTGTGTGATGAGGAGTCAGTTGAGGTTGCCAATTAATATTGCCTGGATAGAAGAGACAGGAGTTTGCAATACAGATATCCACACTGCCTTCTTGACATATCACAGACTCTATAGAATAACAATCATTTAGGTGGTTAACTGGATTGTTTAGAGCCTCTGACTGGCAACTGTTGCCAAGAACTGGATTATTGGTTTTGCTGAGGTCAGTCTGATTGCTAGGCTTTTTATTGAAATGGTCTGATCAGCAACTAATTGTTATGAAGGAGATGAGTGACTCACAGCTCCCTCACAAGTGTAGCTATCTGAATGGATTTTGTTGTGATTAAATTCTTGACTCTGCAGCTCCATGTCATAAGTCAATTTATCCTATACCAAGAATATTATGACTGGGCCCTACCAATTTGCAAACAACTGCACTTCTGTGGTTGTCACATGTATGCTGCAGTGAACTATGAAACTGAAGGTCTGGGTGAGCTGTCACTCCATATTTCTCATGCTGAGAATCCTCCCACATTTTTGTGATAGTTTCAACAGTTTTGCGGCAATGGAGAGAAACTTGTTGATTGAAAATAATTGTTGTCTCATGCAAATCTGTGTGTGAATTCTTGATTCTCAATTCTTTGAGTAAGTTCACATCTTTTTTATGATGCTCCAGGTCTTTCCATTTATTTTTAATGCCATTCATGCTTCTCTGTCAGCTGTAGGGTACAGACTGGTTAAATTCTGTCTGAAGATCCTTCCATTTTCTATATGGGTTTGATTGCTTTAGTTTCCAAAGGAGCTTCTCTTCATTTAAAGAGTACAGAAAGTGTTGTTTGGAGGCATATCATATAGTTACAGTGGTCTGAACTCTCCCTGGGTGATCAGGTGATGGTGTTAGTTTTGTGAAAATGAAGATGCCTGTAGCAAAAGTGTCAGAATTTCAGATATCCAACTATTTAAGCTTGCAAAATCCCATCAGGAGGAACCTAAGTGATAAGAAACACCAATCAAAATGAAGGCAAGGGAGTTTGAATGGCTTGATTTATACAAACAGTGGGCACAGGAAATAGATCCAGCCAGCCTGAATGTTTTCACACAATCTTTGGCAAACCAACCAGAAGTCCAGCCTTCAGAGGCTGTGCACAAGTGAGAATCAATCATTCTGGGCTCTTGAAATGAAAGCAACAATGTGGAGGTGACACCAAATAGCCTCAATTGCACGGGTGATGGAACCATCAAAGGCCCAGTCAACACCCCACTTCCCATTCACCCCACACCATCACCAGATATCATGGCTAGAGCCATCAATCCACCCAAACAGCTGCCGCACACTTTCCAACTTCAACTGTTAGAGATAGAGGTGAAGAATATTCAGAAGAAGTAAGTTGATCACAGTCAGATCTCAAGCAACTGAAGAATGTTGTCCCTAATTATAATAGACTTGAGATCAAGAATCAGTAGTCACCCTGAAGCTTGCACTCTGAGAGAATGTCACTGACATAAACATCTTACAGAGAGATTGCAAGGATCATCCAGTACATTGAGACATCACTCCAGCCTTGGGCTGAGTCAGTTGCGCAAACTATTCAAACTTTGACAAAAGATACATGACTAGGTGCCATTGGCCATGTGTGACAATAGTGTCTAGGGTCTAGAAGACAACAGTTGATTCAGAAGACCTGGAGTGTACCAAACTGTCAGGTCTCATGAGCAACATGCAGGCATTAATTCTCCAGCAAACTTCTATCACATAGTACTGTTCAAATTATGAGAACATAGAATGCTTCCAAAATGAATCAAGATGTACTGAGAAGTTGAGAGATTCTTATTGTTTGACAGAAGTTGAAAGAGAATCCTGAGCATTTAGTCACAGTGCTTACTGATTGAGCCTACAGCCATGAAGTGGGCCCAGAACCCAAGGTCAAATTCCACAGAAGCATAAGGTCATTAGCAGCTTGGCATCACTCATTTCATGCATGCAAGCCCATTTCTCTGGATTTTCCACTTCACTACTGTAAGACTCAGTGATACAGGTGAATTACCTCCCTTTATCATCTGCATTATCATGTGTTTGAAAGGTGTAGCTGAGTCCAGTTGTGATTCTTGTGAAGAAAGCATTATTTAGAGCCTGGTGCATGAGTGAATGCCAAGACAAGCAGCTTTTGAGAGAAGCCATTTCTCCAGATCATAATGATTCAGGGGTATGACATCCACTGCATTTGAGCATAAATTCCACTCTCTTTTGCTTTAGTGGAATTCATACATGTACTTGTTCAAAATGTAGTGCTTTGTCCCATGTATGTAGCTGTCATATTTGATTGACACATGAAACAGCTTGTGCTAACTACAAACATTATAGGGTTGGGTCACCAACAGCATCAGCTAAGCCAATCATGTTGATTCCTGAGATTGCTTCATGAACTTCACAATTAGATTTGGTGACACCATGAACAGTTATATCTTCCATGACAACATCATCAATGCTCCTTATGTGCATCTGAGGGATCATTATAGACAGGAAGTGGTGGGAGGATGAATTTTCCCTCATCATTAGGCTGGTGCACTCCTAGGAATTCATGCCACTTCCATAGTCTTGAACAAGCCATCCTCAGTGCCAAAATATCAGTTAACAAAGCCCCACTGCCTGGTTCAAAAATGCGAGCCAGACCTTTTGATTCAGCATCAGGTCTTCTTAAATCAGGCCCTTTACTCTATAGCAGGGATTATCATCTGACTGTTAGTGCATTAACTCTAGGAATCTAATAGCCACCACAGGCCCATCACAAGATTTTGCCTACAGTGTCTTGTGGGGCTTTTGATCCTGATATGGGTTGCTAACTGAAAGGTTTTGGTGACTTTTATATTATTTGAGAAAAATCTTCTTCTTCATGCTATGTAGTTATTTAAAATCACTAAGACAATTTAGTTTTGCTCCTTCTCAATAGCTGGTGCATCCTGAAAGGGTTACAAAGTAATGCTATATACATTTCTATATACATGGTCTGAAGCCCTCTCTGCCAAACCAAACCAGAAGCTTGCAACACCAATAGAGAATTTACTTTGGCAGTGGGTAAACTGAGTCTATCTCTGGGTGGTTTTCATTTTCCACTCTGACAGTCTTGCCCTGGTAAAGATGACCTTCAGACATGTGCTTGGTGTTTTGGAGCCCTAGTTTGTAGAGTTCAATCATAGCTTTTAAGTTGTTGATGACTTGCTGCTGTTCCCTCTGAGTGTCTAGAAGTTGTTGGATAGTCACCAATTGCTCAGTGTTTAAGACCATGTTTGATGGAACTGGTTTGATCTCAGTGATCAGCTTCCATAAAATCTGCTTCTCTGATTGTAGGAATAAGAGATCCACTTCCATGGTTGTATTTCTTTGTCTTTCTATCATAAGATCCTGATAAGCCTCAGCTTGCCATGCCCTTTCTTCATCTATAGCAGCTTCAAGTACTTCACAGTTCCATTCAAGCCCCTTAATAGAAGCTTGCAGATTCTTGCAGCAATGTTCCAATATCTCCAAGGCACTCATTAATTGATAAAAGTTGATCTGAGCCAAGTTCAAGCTTTCCTGCAAAGCTTGTTAATGACCAAGGAGGCATCTAATAGTCATGCAAAAAGTGCAATTATTGCATGCTTTGCATAGAAGTGGCACCTATTTCCTGCATTAGTAGGCTATATGAGACTCTGGCTTGGAGAAAGTAACATTACTGGAATCACAGAGGACTCTGAGTGAGATATTTTGCTGATTTGCTCATTGGTAAAGGGGAGAGCATTCAAGGCTCCCTAGACCTTTTAAACATGAGGGTGAATCCAAAGGAGGCCTGTGTGAAGCCAGGATTAGAAAGCAGAAATACAGGAGTTGAAGAAGCTAAAGACTTCTAACACCAAGCCATTCCACCTTAACCTGACCTGAGCAAAGTTGGTCATGGGCTTTTAGAACATGTCAGGCAAGAGAGCTGGGAAGAGCAGCACTAAACAAAGATCAGCATGCCAGACTTGGGCACTGTTTAAACTGAATGATTGCTTATGTGGATGGGGAAAATCAGATCATTTGTGGTTAAGCAGGAAAAGGATATCCACATGGGCATTTAATTTAACATTTTAGAACATTCTCAGCAAACACCCGCATTCATTTCCAGTAACATGATCCTTTGCACCCACCCAATCACTTGACACTGAGATGACCACACATTCTGCCTGAAACTTCTACTTTCAATCTATTCTTAAAGGCAAATACAATTGTTCACATTGCTAGCTACTTCCAATGATCTCTATTAAATATTGAGTTGTATAAACAATTGTCATGAAGTTGCAGTCTCCTGGTTGAAGATCTCCTTTTCCTCAGGGTGTGAGGTAAGTTCAGTGGCTTCTTGTTTGCTATACAAGACACTCTTTGGGGCTGATTTCATGGTCTTTTGATTATTTTGATCAGCAGTGTGTTTCAAGGGTTCTTCCCAAATATATCTTTGTTTTGCAGTTGGCCAGTACTGATGCTACTATTAGCTTCATCCACATGCTAGAGGTGAAGATGTACCTTGCAGATGTTGCAGCATACTATATGATGGTTCATCCAACCACAGCAGCCACAAGAATAATTGATGCAGGAGAACATTGTTATATGGATGACATCTGCAAAACTGTTATTAATGTGTAAGGAGTGCTGTTTCTCTTGTCATTATAATGGACCATGTAATAGTTGATTTATAGTTCATCCCCAGTGCATATATCTTGCCCATGATGGTGCATTGCTTCCCAATGTGATCATCTCTCAAGTAAAGATGCAGGTGATTGTGCGGGTGACTGCCAATATGAGAGCTATGGTGACACACTTTCCTGGGCCATTTTATAAGGTTATGGGATCTGGGTCTATCCTGCCTCTGATCTCAAATATTGTAACAAGGCTTTTTGTGAAATTCTGATGGCAGTGTCAACATTTTGGATCTTCATTGCATTATTGTCAGGAAATGCTACTGTGGAAGATGCTTTTCCATTTGTTAAAAGCCCTCAAGCAGTACTATCTTTAAATACAACCTTGGTGATGATGGTGGCATCAGGACTACCCACCATTTCTTCCCCGCATGCAGGGGACTCCATTGCATGGACCACAACAAGGGCTTTGTCTTTAAGTTCTTTGATTTCTTTTTTTAACATGCCCAGTGCAGATACCTTGATCAGATCACACACCATGACTGCTAGCTTGTTTGACCCTGACAGTCAACCTAATAAACCTGTGACAGAATTGAACCTCATTTTTCAACAAAGTTATATAAAGACTACATCAGCCACAATGGAAGAAGGTGGCTTATCTACTCAAAACACAAGCTTATAGGATACAAAAGCAACCAACTTTTCAGGATCTCATGCAGAATTGTTGACAACATTCCACCTGAGTACCTTGATCAAACATTCTATAATGACTCCTAGAATTTCTTCCTCTAAGACCTGGCTTACTGTATCTCTAATCAAGATTTCATTGAGTTTTCAGGAAAGCAATATCTGTACATCATCAGGTCACATCAAGATGAGCTCAAGAAACTCAATGGTGGTCAAGAGAACTTCCATCACTTCAAACCAGGCTCCAGAGAAATCAGAATTAAATCTTGAAGCTGAACTTGCCTCACTACCTTCTTCTACCTCTGTTGTTCATGTGTCACTGCACTCATCTCAATCCATACTCTCAGAAACTACTTTAGCAACAATATTGTCAAGATTTTTAGGCTTTCAACCTGGTAATGGCCAATCTCTCTCTACCTCATTGATATCTAGCAAGACAAATTACTCAGTAATCTCTTTTAGACCTTCTGAGTCATTTTCTTTCTCAACATTCTCTATCTAATCTAGCCTCTTTTACAGATAAGACAGACCCACATTCATATATTAACAAAAAAAAGACCATTCAGCAGTTGATGATAACTAAATTCCAGTCAGAGCTACCAGGAGAAGGGAAACCACAACAGTCCAGTTTCAGTCACATGGTTCATGCGGTTATATCACATATGTCCACCTAAACTATGTCAACAGTTGATGTTTTCCAGTCTCAATACAGCATGGTCAACTTCTTCTATAATTCCCAATCAGCCTCCAGCCAGATCACCACAAACTCCCCAAGCTCTTTCACTGGTGTTTTGGCTTTCTCTCATTCAAAAAAAGACCCTCAGAATACCCCTACAAAGCTTGTTGTATCAAGCCACACAGTTCCTACAGTTTCTGATGACTGTGAACCAAGCAAGTTGGCCCAACATGGGAAATCAGCTGGAATTATAGGCAGTGTTCTTGCTGGCACATGTGCCATTACAGCAGTCATCATATGGGCAGCACAAAAAGCTCATCAACAACTGACCCAGCCATGACAGCATTCCCCTGATCACTATATTTCTCAGTTTTCAGATTAAGCTGCCAAACTAAACTCCTGGCAATGGATCATCAAACCAGTGTTTGGGCATACTGGGGTATAGTCTTGCATATAAATGAGAATGTACTGTACACTTCTCCATAGCATGAATTAACCCAAAGTCATATCAAGACACTAGTCTCTATGTAGTTAGCTTCCAGCTTCTCAGTTCAGCTTGTCTTGTAGTTCCTCCTACAAGCAACTAAGATGGAGAACTGCATAGTATTGGTTCTGTGGTTCTAAGAGCTTCCATGAATGCTTAAGAAGTTGTGCCAATTCTCACAATGCCATGGTGAAGCTTCTGAGCTCTATGCATGCCTAATGTCAAGCAAGTAAGTTCCAAGGATTCTGGAAGTGTAGGACAATAGAAAATCTTAAATCATATTTGCGTCCAGCAAAGCACATTCTACTTTTTTTTTGTTGGCCAGTCATATCAGATTGCCTGTACTCCATAAGTCACCCATTATTCAATCAACAACCCACAGTGACCCACCAATCACCCACAGTGAAAAACATTTCATAAACTCAGAGATTGTTTTATGACTTCACAGGCAATCAAACACATGTTGAGTACCCCTGAGGAACATTATGCCTGTGAGTCTCTCAGATCACCATGGCCAGAATCCAGGCTAATCTTTGACCCACTAGCCATGTTCCACTCAAGTACAATGGATGGCATAGGATGGGCATCCCACATTGTCCCAGTGATCTAGTCCGCCCTCATACTGATACTTAAAGATAGATCTACTACTTTGATCAAACCCAGCAATTCTCTCTTCAAAACTATCAATTCATCATGAAGCTATCAATCAGTATGAAAGAGACAACTCCCCCTTCCACATCTCTGGTAGGTCTCAACCCTCACTTGATTGGGCTTCTAAGATAACAAGAGATATTAACAGCCATCATCTCTCTTTGACAATGGATACATGAGCTGTACTTCCCATGTACTTTCTAGGATTCAGCAAACTCCCAGTTCATATCTTGGCCAAGCTCATCACCAAGCCTGATGCAATCTGCTTCCCTCACATTATGTGTCTTATGGTTCCAACAAGGTTGGCAGCTACATTCATATGTTGGAATCTCACTGCAGAGCTCTTGAGTTGGCCTTGAATCATGCTGCAACAGATTTTGAGGAGAAAGAAGGACATGAAGTGGACAAAACTGTACATGATCTGTTGAATGTGGAATATTCTACCCTGTGGAAACCAACCAATGAAATAATCTTATATCCATCAACTCATGGGCAAATAGTCAGGGCATGAAGACACCACTACTTCTCTCAAGGGCAGCAAGCTGCCACTGGAAGATCAAATGCAGAGTTTTATAGATGCAATCTTGGACCTTGATCACTGGAAAGTGAACAAAACAAAGCAGCATATCAAGAGGGCTGCAAAGCATGAGAGTGTTGGATCAATAATAAAGCCCAAGAACATCAAATTACACCCCCCCACAAACTGCAGTAGCAAATGTGTGGAGCTCCAATAGTCAAAAGTGACAAGATCTTCCTTGGATCTAGACTTAGCATTACTAAGATACAACATAACATTTTTGCATACTAACTGCTTCCAGGCACACTGGGTGGAGCCCATTTCTCAGCCCTTTTAATGGGTGAACATGGTGCTGACTTAACTGCTTCTATGGACAGAATAGAATTGAGGCTTAGTAAATATTCAGAATGTTGGTATTTATCAGGAATAAAAATGGAACATCTATCTCAGATCAATCATTGTGTTTGCCCAAAATATAACTTTTAGTTTGCTCTATGGACTGATATATACCTAGGAGAGTAGTCTCTCAAGCTTGATAATTCTCAAATGGCCTACAAGGCTACTAACCATACACAGAAGCTATAGGAACCACAGAACATGAACTCCATACATTCATGCTCTCTCTCTCTCTCTCTTCTTGGAGGAGGTTGAGATGAGAATCAGAATGAAAACTCTGCATTGGATCAAAGAAGATTCAAGCTGGTAAGCTGGAGGCTAACTACATAGAGACTAGTGTCTTGATAATAATCCATCCTCTTGATCAGTGTCTAATACTTCTATTATCCTGTTCAAAAAGGAAGCTTGTGATAATCAATAGAGTCAACCCGACCATCCCATTGTAGCCCTCGCCCAGGAAGAGCTAGAGCACTCCAAACAGACTCAATGGAATAAATCAATCCATTGATTCTGGCTTCCACTAACTCAATAGAATCAGAGTTCACTTTAATGGATTCAACTGACTGTATGAATAATTGCATGACTGTTTGCATCAGTTGGAGCTGTCTGTTAATATCCAACCTTGAAGTCACATAGTTTTTCCCTTCTATTTGTTTTGTGTCTCTAAGCCTGGACATGTGGGTGATGGTGCAACTGCAAATGATGTCACAGAGAGAATTATGAACTGCAGCTAGTGGTACATTAGGGATAGCTAACACTGAGAAGAGAAACATACCTGTAACCAGGAGCCATCTGTTCCCAAATTTCACCTCTTCAGCTAGCATTTGTTCAATGTTTATATGTCCGGGTGACATGACTATACAATCATGATTTCCCAACAGCTTTGGGGCCATGGTAGGTATCGGGTAGTGAATAGAGATGCAGAGAATCTACATGATTAGCATAAACACCAGATATCTACTGCTTGGATATGCACTATCCAACTAACATAGCTTCCTTGATCTTTGTTCAACAATTCTTGCATCCAGCCAGAGACCCAGTCAAGCTGATCTAAGTCAATGTCAGTGTTATACCAGATGCTGTGAGCTAGATCTCTATCTTAAATCTTACACTTGTCTTCAATCTCCCAAGTGACTACTAACCTCCTTACTGGAGACTTCCATTTTGAGTGACTTTCCAGAACTTTCTTGATAAATGGAATCTGCTCTGCAATACCAATGCTGGTTGCAAACATCAAAACAGAACCATAGCCACTGATGTCAATGGTATCACTGTAGGGGCCATCAATGCAGGCTAAAAGTTTCCTTTTGCTACTTGCATGGTGAAGGGCCCTTTTGGTGAAGTCTTCTCTTGCCTTTATCAAAAGAGAGATGGAAGTTTTATCATGTCATGTAATTTGAAACAGACGGTTTTCAAGCAGAGAAAAGAAATCCATATCCAGAATTCAAAGGTAGATAAACTGTCCAGGACAAACAGTAAAAGGCCTCAAATTGGAGAGCACAATTTTCACTGCCTTGTGCTTGGCAAGGAGTTCTGCTCTGGCCAAAAATCTACCATACCCAAAGTTGCGCGTGATCAAGTTGCCCATTTGAAAGATGAAAGTGAAAGTAAAGGAAATGGCCCCTGCTATCACATAGATATGAGGGAAAGTTATCTTAAATGATATATGGTGATAAAGGCCATAGAAAGCAATGGCAGCAAGGCCATAGTGCATTTTTATAAATATTTCATAGAAGTTTCTCCAAATGCATAGGAGAAATAGAGCCAGCACAATAGCACCAAGTGTCTGTCAAGCATGTTTAGCAAAGGCTGTGCTGCTGGGTCAGTAATCTTACCAGAAGCCCATATAGCTGTGTATTTCCCTTAATAGTCAGTCCATCCATCTTCATGGAGCTGGCTAAATGTGCTAATGCCTGGATTATTGGCATCCAAGTAACCACGCCATGCACCACAAGATATGAGCAAAGTGGCAACCCACAAAGGTATGCAGCAATACTTGGTTGACTAACAAGCAGAAAAGCAATATTAATCGTACAAGCTTCAGCCATTGAATGAATTGTGAGCATAGTGCGTGAAAATAAAAAAGAACAATAAGCTATCATCAAAGGTAACTGAAGTGAAGTGTATGGCCTGGAAAACCAGCTTCAATGGATGACAAGATGGTGACTGAATTTCCCACCAAAAAAGTTCACCAAGTGTTGCAGAACAAAGAGGCATACAATAGTAAAAAATGAAAGAGCAAAGAGCTTTCCAAAATCAATTATTATTGAATGTCAGCTCTTTTTTAATTTCTTCTTGTGGTTTTGAAGGATACATTGTGCAACACTAGAGATTCTTGAGTGTTGGTGTTGTTCATAATAACTTTGGGTTCAATACTCTGTAAGTACAGCCTGCCAAAAAGCCTGTTCTGATAGTTATGCATAAGCTCTGGATGACCAAATCACTCATTCAACAAAACTGGGTGAAACTTACAAGACCTGGTGGAGCACACAGCTTTAATGTAAGAAAGAATAAATAATTACTGAATATATATAGTGCTAATTTCCAATATCCTGACTTCATTTTTTTTTCAACAGGGCAAGCTGGTCTTGGAATTCAGGAAGGAAAACAAGACTGATGAAGTGGAGGACACTTTCTGATTCAGAAGAGGATGAAAAGTCTCTTGAGGGAAAAAAGCAGGAGAAATAGAAGAAACAGAGATCAATGGTTTACTGTAAACTCATGGAACTGAGCCTGTACTGCGAAGCAGACATATATGCCTTAATACATCAATGGGGGGAAATATATACCCTGAATACAAGCAATGATAAATCATTCCCGCCACCAGAAAGCTCTTTGGTAAGTTCCCTTGGAGGAAAAGTGCATGGGACATATTCTAATAAAAAGAAGGGAGGCTTGAAAAAGACACCAAAGATTGCTGATTTCCAGTCAAGAGCTCTTGTATACCAATCCCAAAACCAGCCAGCAATCACACAAAAAAAGGATCTTGGAACTGAGGAACACAAGCTATCATCAGTAAAAAGGGCTGTCCAGCTGCCGGTTTGGATTCCATCACTAATGAAGGGAAAATGTGCAAGAATTGAGTTGGAATCTGGGAGAAGCTCTTTGCTAAATTGAATGCTGCAAAGGTTGTATACAGAATATTATCTCTTTTGATAGGACCTATTTTCTTTGTTAAGATATTTATCTCATTGATTATGTATAGCATCTTCTAGTATTGCTTAATCAATGAATTGTAGTTTACAACACCTTGAGCTACTCTCCTCAGGACCCAGTTGTACATTAAAGCAATCCATACAATGAAAGAACCTGCACTGTAACCTTTGGTGTGAAAAACCACCCAGCAACTGATGACCCCTCCTTCTATGACTCCTTTAACAACCAGGTAAAATTGTACACTATCTTTAGTTCGCTGCATCCATTTTATTCCAGGATAATAGGTGGCATTTGATCCCAAACTGGTTGTCTCTTGCGCGCCAGCCAAGCTTTGTCCAAATCAATCAGCATTGACCAGGATAAACTTGGAATTCCTGATGACATTGGCAGGACAAACTTCTTTTGAAGCCTTGGTGCCTCCTGATGAAAGTCATAATGCTGCAACTTGTCTAAGCTGTTCCAGTCCAGAAGAGGAGCAGAGAGTGGACACAATCTCTTGAACTGATGTTTAGTCAACTCAGTTCTTACTACATCTCACATTTCCTGAGGAGAAGATGCAAGATGCAATTGCAACAATGAAGTAAGAAAGCCTAGCAGTCCTGCTTGCAACCAAACCTAATACTGCTACACTGTATAACATCACAGAGAAACCTGCCATCTACATTCCACATCTATTCAGAAACTCCATTGACCTAGATAATATTCTTAGGCTTCCCTTATGGCCCTTGAGAATATTACAGGCAAACCTCTCCATGGAACTGAAGTACTAGGACTCTCAAGAAATCATCTTGCTAGATCTTTATGATCAATTTCTATTTGTTAGTTAAATTATCTATTGCTTAATCAAGCCTTTACTACTACTTGATGCTTGCCTATTTTAATATTTATTATTTTTACTTACCTTATATTTACATTAAGAACTTTACTTATGATATGTAGCTTCCTCTAGCCCCACATTGAAATCTACAAGGATGAGGCCATCCTTTCTTTCCTGTAAATGCTGGCCACTCTAGATTACACACCAGAACAAAAGAGTAGAGTGGAGTATGCCAGCTGCTCTCCAGTGGTAACCAGATCCAAAAAGTCTCTATTTCCACTGCTGTCACCTTGCAATCCATGGCAGCTTTTGTGAAGTCCTACTGATAGCAGCAATGAGAATTGTACTGACTTAATAGATTCCCCTAACAAAGCATCACATCATTCAGCAAATATTGCAGTTGTATTACCTCTTTGCTCTGGCAGAATATCCTCTCAGAGATGCTCTGAAAACAAGAGCAGGTCCTGACCATACTGCACCCAGAAGTGTCTTCTTGAGCTATTCAATGGATGGGCATTGGACAAGGCCTGCCCTAATGCAGCTGACCATGGAACAGACAGGCATGAGATTAACCAGCCTGCATTTATATCCCTCTTGCATGGACAGCTTCTGAATAAAGATAAATGTTCATACAGCCATTACAAGTCAGATGGATGTGAATCCCTCCATATACATGGAGCCTGAGGCACATTGTTTGAAGTCATTCTCATGCCATATGGCTATAAACTGGTTGACAAGGGCTTTACTTGGGAGTTTTTTGATATTTATCACATGAGAAAGCTGTATATGAATGCCTTTTCCCCATTCAAGGTCTCCATATCCCTGTGTGCATTGGGACCCTGGATCTCTCTAAAAGGCTGCTGTTTTATGACAGAATTGCCAGGATACCTCATGTATTGCTTCTCAGTCATGCTGGAATATCTCTTCAACATTCCAGTGGTGACAGTGAACAGCTTTCCATGACAGCATCAACATCACTTCAGGCCATCCACCAGCTTGGTGTGCATCATTGTGATGCTTATATCTACAATATGTTCTGGAGTGCAGAGAATAAGAGTGTGATCTTTATTAATTTTGAGCACACTGAGATCCTGGATACAAGACCCCCTCTGAAAGACTACATTACTGAATCAAAAGTGCAAGAGAGCAGATGCTGAGGGCACTGCTAAGAAGTGGAAAGCTTCTATGAATCTTGAATATAAAATGTGGAATATGCTACACAATTGGACCTGCTGGCCCAGGTGTTCAAACCTGGTGAAGGAGCATGACTTGCTCTCCAGGTGGTTGAATAAGGCTGCCAACAAAACAAACTCTTTGGAATATCCATCTCTTGAATTGGGGCAGTGGTACACCTTCTGCTGATGTATGAGTGAGTTTAGGTGGTTGTTCAGGGACTAGATTTTGCTGAACATTTTGTGGCATAGATAGCATTCCCAGGTGGAACCATTATAGGCATGATTGGTGGCCATGTACCCAATAATCTGCTTCTTGTGCCACTCTAGCTGCCTGTTAGTGATGAAATCATGCATGTCATGCTCACACACCATATGGTGGATGGCATCCTGATTCAAGTTGGGGGCCCTGGAGCATGATCCTGATTCCAGGTGGTGTGAGAGGCCACTGGCAGTTACAAAGTTTGATTTGCAGAAGGGGCAGGCAAGCTTAGTGCCAATGTGGATGCTTGATTTGAGATACTAAGATTCATACACAACAGAAATTTCTCAGTAAGCACCTTTTTCTCTTCCAAAGGGGCAGGGACATTACCACTTGGAGGTTGTTATAATTATCAAACCCACAGTCACATGGAAGATTCTCCTCTGAGAGCTTCTGCTTAAATCAACTCTGTTCCTATATCAGTATCTGTCATGAGGCTACTGGCATGTGGGATATGTAGACCTGGAAAAATAATCATATTTAAGCAAAATTCTCAGGATCTTCTTGCAGAAAAAGTTGCAAGCCAGAGTGCACACTACAGAAACATGATTGCAATATGAGTTTTCAGTGAACAGGCAAAAATTCCTCAAAATAGCACAGAAACAGACTGTAATTCAGAAACATAATGCAAGACTTCTTGAGGAGAAGGCATTCTCTGAGGATGACAAGCTCCCTGAGGACAAGAATCTCCCTGGGGATAAGAAGCTCCCTGGAGATGAGGTGTTCTCTGGGAATGAGGTGTTCTCTGAGAACTAATGCACATAAGCCCATGCCATCATATTGAAAACTGTGGCCATCATCTGATATCTACAGCTCTGAAAGTACCAAGGGCCTCTGATTGTTGATTAGTGATGACACTTGGTCTTTTATTCTTGTTCACTTTCAAATTTCCTGCCTGAGAAGCAGATGCCAGCATTCCTTTCTCACTACTGAGCTCTCATCTTTCATCAAGGCCTGTATAATAGATGTCAATATCACTTCATCAACATCCAGCACCTCACCAAATGACCCCAGGAAAGAGGGGTTGTTCATCTCAGCAGCAAAAAGATTGCAAGCCAGTATTGGAATGCACTCCAAAAACATAGAGGCAATGTTTTTCAGTCAGAAGGAAAAATGCCTTGAAGATAGATTGCAACACAGAAATTGGAGTGCAATACAGAAACAAAATGTGAGATAGACTCAGCAGAGTTCATGTACTTGGGAGGAAGAAGTTGTTGAACAAGTATTCCACAAAAAAAGTTCATAACACTCTCTGCCTCCTGCTTCTGAGCTGCCAGAGCCTAGGTGCTGAATCCAGCACATCTAGCTAGTCCTCACTCAAAGAATAGTTATATAGCAGTATTATGCTAGAACAATAGAAGATATCAAAATAGGTAAAAAGCTGCTGGAGAAACAGATCAACTGAGCAGCATTGCTCTTATGTCAAGCAGACAAGAGTGACCTTCTTGTATAGCTTGCTGCTTTGCAATGGCTCACAGTAATTGAGAAGAGCACTTATAACTGCCTGCACCTGTATCTGTTCAGTCACAGAAAGAGAAGAGCAGGAGAAGTTAAGAATCAAGAACTTCTTCAAGTAATGCTTGATGGCAGTGATGAGCAGATGATTCTCAGCCAGCAGGCAACAAAAGGAAGTGGCCCACCATGGGATGATGCATCCACCAACTCATCAAAAAGCTTCATGGGCAAAGAAGTGTTCAGGTGGCTCAGAATCACCACTAGTATAAACAGCATAAAGAGCTATGAAAGCCCAAGGAGTCAGAGATTAACCAGTTGCTGCTGATGAAGGAACATGACCTCTTGAACAGGACCAGGGGCACTTTGGCTTATGTTTAGAAGTGAAAAAGAAGACAGTCTCCTGGAGGGGGAGGGAGCCCTTTATTTATATCAAAGGGTTGGGGGCAGTCACAGAGTGCTTGTCTTGGGCTGCTCTCTCTCCAGGCATTGAAGCACAGCACAGCAGCCAACAAAGTCCAAGAGACAAAATCTGAAAATAGAACTTATGCAGTACTAGCATCCTTTCCACAGCTGTTGCAGGCAAATCAGAGTGAGAGGACAAGAGAGGTAGGCATCATTCATTTTGTGGTTGCGCACAGTAGAAGAGGAGAAGGCAAAGCATCTCCATTTACTAGGTATAATGCAAAGCTATCCAACTTCTATTCTTGGATATACCACTCCAAAGCATTGAAAAGTTGTTTGACATTATGCACAAAGGAGTTGAGACAAGCTAGCAATGGCTATCAAAGAGAGTACAAGGACAGAAAACTTCTGGTTTTGTGATAGCCTAATCCCACTGGTGATGAAGACTGTTGCTTCACCATCACAATTGCTTGTGAAGATATAATGCAAGGTGTCTGTCAACCAGGGCTGACCCAACTCAAGCTCTAATGAATTTTTATCTCACAACCTAGCACTTCACAAGAATGCCATGCAATTGACAAAGTCTTGAGCAGCATCCCAGTCCATTCCAGCACCCCTTTTGTTTACCCAGCAATGTTGAGGTTGCCACATGAGGTGACATTAATAATTTAAAATCTGACAAGAAACCTGTTTGCTTCAACCATGTCTATTTCTGGATTTGATTATCTTATTGATGTCAAGTCCATTTTTCTGGCATAGAAGCACTAATGTTTTCTTGTAGTCTTGCATACAGTGGAGAATTGCTCCATTGACTTCCTGAAGCTCCTCCCAGTGCACATTGGAATAGGTGAATACCTGTCATAGGTCACAGTTGACCCTGTGTGTATTTTGCATTTGCTCTTTTAATTTCTCACATTCCTGACACATATTATCATGAGAGCCTCTTATCTCAATTAAAGCCTTCTTTAGAAGACAGTTCTCCTCTGTTGTCAATCAAAGACTGCCAGATAGTTCCTTGATTTTGTCTGTAAGAATGTTGACATCACAATTGTACATCCTCTCCAAGCATTCAATTGTTGTGATATGTTCTTTGACCATTACTAAAACATTTGGGAGTGTCTCAAATGAAGATGCAGAGGCTCATCATTTAAGTGAAAGTGCAACAGTTGCCATGCTATAGGAGTTGTATTCAGTTTTTTGGCCCATCACATCAAGGAGGATAAAGGAATTTTGTGATCCAGTCAGGTATTTATTCCATGAAGCAAATGAATTTGTAGACATTTCTTTGACCAACATTGTGACCCCCAGGTGGAAGATACACACAATTTATCCATCAGTGGGCCAGGCCAGGGAGCCTGATGGTTTATTATACTACTCATATTTAGTTGCAAGGTCCTTCAAGCCACTAAAAAGACCTCAACCTGAACTTTAAATCCTTGTATCAATGAATCATCCAACTGCATGGCTTACAGTCTGTATTGCCCACCTCTCTGCCTGTCCTTTATAGGCCTCAGAAGCATGGTTTCCCCAATTCACTCTTCTTCTTTTTGAGGCACTTTGCTGTACACTCTGCACTCTACAACAGCCTTGTGTACCAGCCACTGTAGATGAAACTATTATTCCTGGCCCATGCATGCTGTTGTGTTGTATTGGGGCCAAGAGTGAACACATCATCATCACCAGAACACCAGAGTCTATCTCAGAGTAAGCAACCATCAAAAATACCAGGGAAGTCACAAACCTTGTGCTGATCTGCAAACCTGTACTAACACATCAAGATTTTTGTGATACTCCTGACCTTCTAGATTTGGGTCCAAACAATCAGTTTGGTGTCCACCATCTAAGTGCAAGCTTTCTGCTGTCAAGCTGCCCTGGAAGTTCCCTCCATCAGCTAAAATGTCAACCCACTGACAGAGCAATCCACAACAGCAGCATGCACTGAGAGAGCCAAAGACAATGACTTGAGGTGGATTTTCAGAATACAAAGAAGGATTCAAGCAAGGGATGGGATTAGAATGCACAAAATGTTCAAAAAATGCCCAGCCACTTCAAGTCTCGCAGATCCATCAATGGGATAGCTTTGTTGACCCTGCTAGCATTGCTGGTGAACAGTGACACTAATTTAGGTGGTTAGAGTGCTGGAGAAGGATTCTTGCTAGTGTCACTATTTGCCAGGAACACTAGTGACCCATTTGCAGCCTGTGTACAATTCTCCCCACCCAAAACTCTCAACACTTCAAGAGTGATGTTTGTTCAAGTGCGCCCTTATCCTCAAATGCTAAGACACAGAGCCTCATGTCAACCAAACAAACATGGGCAGTGACAACCAAATCCTTTAGGCATTAACCCATTACTGAAGCTATTCACCAGATCAACAATAAACTTGCCACTCACCAGCCTCATGTGGTTGCACTTCTCCAGACTTTATTGAAGAAATCAAGAAAGGTTAAAGCTTTTCTCTCCAGAAGTGAAGCTGAAGCAGTCAGCCATCCATCATGGACTGAGATTGATCCCCAGTTATCTGATGTGAAACAGCTCTCTAGTGCATCAAGTGAGCAAGAGAAGTTCCACATCTTCCTTGCTGCGCAGTCTCTGGCGCTTGATGAGGAAGCCTGGGAAGTTAGGAAGTACAGCTCTTCTCAAGTATATGACCTAGTTGCATGACCAGAATCATCCAACATCCACAATGGTTATGTTCAAGAATTTCTGAATTCCATGAACTTCAATCATGGGACTGCCTATAACACAATACAACTAGGGCAAAAGATTCTTGTCAATGAACAGATGTTTCCTGGATTGTCTGGTGCAATGGCTCTCTATACTTTTTGCCAGGACAAGTTTCAACAAGTTCCATATGAGAGTTTGAAGAATCTTAATCAACTACTTCAAGTGCCTGATTACCATTCAATATGTTTGCTTGTAGCTGAGAAGGGCTTGTATCTTGAAAATTCCCAGCACATTTATTGTGGTAAGAACAAGAAAAGAGTCATACTTGTGACATAACTGACAGAAGATAGATAATTCACATTGGCTTGCTCTGACTGTGAGCTAACTGGTGCTGAATGGTCCACCATCAAACCAATCCTGTTGCAGGACAAGTGGTCCTGGAAAATGACAATGTGAATCCACCTTGACTGCATCTAAATGCTGGTGAGTCCATGATATTGGACATGATATCCCCCTCACTCCCCCTAGCAATGGGGTAGCTTTCTCTGACAAGAACAGCAGTAGATCCTCTGAAGAATCAAGTCCCTCAAGCACAACTGATATTACACAGGATCCAGCTGAATCAGATCTCTCAGATGAAGCAGTAGCCTCAAATATTTCAACACCATCAACTGGACTGCTGGCTTGCATTACAGAAAATGGTAGATATCCTATAGTCTTAATCTTTAAGTCATCTGCTAAAAGAATCACCACATGAAGTAGTTGCTGCACACAATGCATCCACTCTGCAGCACAGGGGTTGTACCAGCCACAACAAAGCAATAGAGCAATATGGTGTTCCCCTGTATACCTTTACCACTACAAGTCACAATAACACAATGAAGCAATATGGTGTTCCTCTGTATACCTTTACCACTACAAGCCACAACAACACAATGGAGCAATATGGCATTCCCCCATATACCTTTCCTGCTGCAAGCCATAACAAAGTGATGGAGCAATATGGGGTGTCTCAGTTTACCACAGATAGCAATGAATCAATGCAACACAGGACTTCCAGAAGAGAGCATGAAGGTGAAGTTCACTATAATACTGCAAGCACAGGTTCTTTCAGCAATCACAGTTATATTCCTGTCCAATAATTCTATAGTTTGAACTGGCTTTCAATGGAAATCCATTGACATCTTGATGCAAGAGTCTGAGGGTGGGAATGATACAGGGATTCTGTATGTTATTATGTTGAACTATAGCAATTTGCCTTGTGCACAGGTTCTCAACCCCTATCAAATTTTTGAAATGACAATTGCTTCTAGTTTACTATCAGCCATAACACTTAGCACAGTTTCACTCAAAACATGATAGTAATGCTCTCTGTCCAGTGTTATCTCCCCAAGCTTAATCTGGCCCCTGATGTGAAGTGGTACAAGAATTGTGAACAACTTGATGACTGTATCTTCTGGGAAATAGACAAATCCAGCATGGCAATAATCAGATATTTTCTGTGGCTTCCCTGCATATAATTCAGAGGATGTGGCCTCAAGACAAAGTTAGAATGAGAAGAATGCCATGATTACCATCAAAGAAGACTTACCTGCTGAGGGTACTTATTACTAACATATTTACTTGTGATACCACAGTCTGGTGTTGGGAGAAAGAACTTCAGGTTTGTTTTGTTCTCTGATTCAAGTATTTTGTCACAGTCATCCTTAACTGATGCCCAAGCAGCCTTGTGCTGCATTGTGATTTTTACAGTCAAAGGAATCTGAATAACTGTCATCATTATTAGAGAGAGGTACATGGGCATGGTTGCCCTTTTGGTGGGAAACTATGCAGACACCTTAGACTAATGTCTATTCTTTAGAGGACATATTTATCATAGATTTGACTTACATCTGAAATAAAGTCAAATGGCCTGTCAGGTGACTTCAGAAAAGAACATTGCTTTGCCCCTCCCCAAAATCATCAGAATTTTCACACCTGGTCTCTGTTGACAGCTGTAACCCCACCATCAACTATGATGTCAGCTTCTCATAACAATGTGAAAGTGCAATCCAGCTTCCATCTTTCTCATGGTACAAATCTGCTTCCAAAATTCTATATTGCCAAAAGAAGTCACTAATCAGAAAATGAAACAAGGCTGAACAACTTTGATAGCATTATCATAGACATGAATCAGCCTGACCAGTAAAGACTTCAACCATGTTGGCAATCCATATCATGCATATGTGCAAATTTACTGGTAGACTATGATTGTCCTCAGACAGACAGCATGATGTCTTCCAGGCCATTCTGGTAGCCTATTCATCCCTGCATGGAGCACAGAAGCAGAAAACAGCAAAGTTCCTCTAATAATCTTGCACAAGAATATAATGGGTGGACAATACACACATGAACCTCCAGTACTTCTTCTATCTCTTCATCAGTTTGGCAGGCAAGAGCCCACATCCTTCAATCACACTGAACTCAACTGGTCTGTTATTCTTGGAAGCTTGGAAGCAGTAACTGCAGAACATCTCAAGTAATCAGCCAGAAAAGAAGAGGTGACAGACCAGCACATGATGTATTCTTGCCCATTTAGCCAATCCATTGCTGCAGTCCAATACTATCAGATGTGACTATGCATTTGCATTGATCTTGGGATGCCATGCAGTATTAAAGAGGTAGCCAATGTTACATCCAGATTTCTAGATGCTGAATGATTGGATATCATTCTTCCTCCTGATGCCTTGCTAAGAACACCTCAGTATTTCACTTCTTTTGGAGCCTGGGGAGAGTCAACATAAAAGTGTCTAAAATTCTTGTGGATTTCAGCAATTTCAATCATCACTAGATAACTCTTGCTCAACAACTTCTTTCTCAAGCTACTCAAACTTTATGTTTTCATCTAGCTACTGTTTCATCATCCTCCCTGCAGCAGGCCTGTGAGCTTTCAAACCTCTGTTAATGGACAATTCTCAACATGTCTTTGACTGTTGGACTATATGTCATCATTTTTGATGATGGTGGTGTATACAAGCACTGGAGTCTCTTTATTGATGGGCCAACAGATGCAGAAAAGATCATTCTCCATGTCATGAGTTCCTCTACCAGATATTGTTTTGACATGAGGAACTCAAACACTCATAAATCAGCAACTCTCTTGGAGATGATTCACCTGTGCAATATGGACACTTCTAAAATCAGCATGATTAAGAACGTTGCAAAAAAGTGGTTATCCATAATGAATATTTGGGCTATAACTGTCAGGACTATGTCCTTGACCTTCTGGATGACTTGAAGGAGAAGAATATTATTGATAAGAATGAGGTCAATTATAAGCATAAGAAGGAGGTCATTCAGAGCAAGCAGGAGGGATTGGCATAGGTGAACAAGTCTGATGAAATGCCTTCAAAGTGTTGTGTTCACTCCTTTGTTATCACACCCTAGCTTATTTACTAGAAGTTGGTTTCCTTTCTTTGAATGGTGGAGAGTATGGCCTGTCTATTACACTCTTTATTTCTAAACCTAGGTCCACTTGCAATATTTTGATAAACTGTACTACATGCAGCTTACAAGCACCAGATAAGTGCTTTCCTAGCATGGAATGGGTATTCCATACACAAGAGGGATTTTTATTTAATTCTGGTTTGGGCTATGTGATTCTGAGATGGGTGCCCCAAAGTCAATCAACCAGCCAACATACAGGAAACTGTGATGGGGAGATGCTCTCTGGCAAATAGAAATACCAATCATTTTCATCCACCAGGCTCAAAGTGCAAGTCAGCCCAGTGCATTCATAGTACTCAGGATAAAAGCCACTATACTTCCAGTCAATTATTCCAGTAACAATATAGCAGCTGTTGGGATCCTGTTTCACCATTATATTATCAGTCCTAACATCACTGTGTGTGAACACCAATTCATGCATTGAAGTGGAGTGGTCATTTTTCAGAAAGAAATGAAGGAATTCAATGTAAGTGGAGCTGCTATAGTGGTGGGTGGAGAATTGCAGGTCATTGAACTTGATGGCTGTGGTGATGTCTTTAAAAAGAGCACATTCATCAATACAGAGCTCTTTGACTTCTTCTCTACAGACCCCTCCAAGCACATTGCCATCATCCTGTCAAAGTATTCTCAGATGGCAGAAGATTTCATCCAGCTGGCCTTGTATCAATAATTTTTCCTCATGGGACAGGCTAGGCCATGCTTGGGTCAAGGTCATGCCTGGAATGCATGACATGAATATGACCTGAAAGGGCCTGAAAGTGACTAAACCATGCAGTCTTGGTGCAGGAACATCAGGTGCCTGTTTTGCAAGAAATTTCAAGCTTGTGTACTCTGTGTAATCTTTGTTTCCTGTAATAACTTTGGTGACAATGTCCTCATTGCACTTGACAACCACATCTCTAACAGGATTTTCTCAGAGCTTTGTTGAATCCCAAAGAAGCTTCTTTAAGAAGAGAAGGAGTGACTCAGCTGCATCACCTGGCCCACTATGCCCTGACTCTTCTGACTGTGCAAGCAAAGAGATAACCTTCTCAGACAACAGAAAGATCACTGAAGCAGTTTTAGCAAGATCAAGACATGTACAGAACTTGGGAGCTCTTCTCTCAGAAGTGTGTTTCTCTGCAGGTGAAAAAGCTGGAGACCCAGTCACCATTGTGATCCTGTGAATATAATTTATTGGAAATTCAGATAGCAGATTGATCTCTGGATCATGCCTGAAGGTATCATAAAGTTCATTTACTGTTTGGAGATTAATTCTTGCAGCATAAGAAAGCTGAGAATACTGTGCATTTTGATGCTCACAACAATAAGAGTCAGAGAGCATTGATATTAGATCCACCACAGGGTTCTTTTCCAAGGCCATCTTGAATTCCAGCAGAATGTCTCTGTTCCATCATGCTGCTTCAGTATTGGAGAGGGTAAGGGCTTGTGGAGCTTCTTCCATATTGTATGTGGTGAAAGTGAGGCCAGCAGAGAAAGTAGCCTCAATATCATCAGGTATTTCATACTTGGATACACCTAAAAGAAGGTAAAACAGGAGATAGGCAAACTGTTGAAATCCAGCCCATGCTGCCGAGCAATAGTGCCAGAGGAATGAAAACATTACAGACAAGGTGATATGGTCAATGGCATTCTGAGCATCCAGAGGTCACATTGAGAAGTCATGGAGATCTCTGATGTTGCTGGTTGATGATTGCAGGTCATGACAATCTCTCAAAAATGTCTGGATAGCTGGAGCACTGCTTCCCCAATCAAATTTCCATTTATACAGTCAATCATGGCACATTGACATGGAACATTTGACTGTGGAGAAAAGAAATTGAAGCAAGATGGTGATTTGTTTGCTTTTGGTAATTTGCATAGTGTTCATTGCCACCTGTAAGATTCTAGGTAATTCTATTGGCTGGAGACTTCTGACCATGTATTCTTGATGGCTTAAATTATTTGGGCTTTTACTTTTTCTGTTTCCAGCTCAGCTTTCACCAATGGGAGCTGAATTCAGCTTTTTGCTGGAAAAGCTCACACTCAGGCACCTGGCAGTTCAAGAGAATGGTGGCAGAGGGTGGAGCCAGTGTATGAAGATCTGATCATTTCAAAACTTGGAGCAGACATTCCAGTCCACCAGCCAAAGATGGCCAGTAATAGTCATTTTTCTCACCAAGCCATGAACCAGCATTTTGGCACTAGGCTGCTCTAGAAAAGATGGAGCTGTCCTTCTCTTTGTCCACCAACAGAACCTATATGGGGGTGTCAGAAATCTTGACAGCCCTGACAGGTGTATTAATTGAGGTGCTTTGTTTGTTTAATGTCTTCTTGAGCTCCAGAAAAGATCATCAATATTATGCTGAGCAGCATCCAATTCAGCTGTAAACTTATCTTTGATCTTACATCCCTGGAGCTTTCTTTTCCTGGTAGTATTTTACAAGATGGCAGACAAGGGGCACCTGATGGAAACCTGACCAAAGTCAACAATTATCAGACATTTAACTATATCATTCCAGAGTATGTTCTGCAGTTCAGTATCCCCATGGAGGACACCCTGCCTAAGAATTGTCTGGAATGAAGAAGACATGTGTGCTTGATTTTTACTGCTTAATTGCAGGCTCTTGTGATGAGATTTTGGCTTTTGCTTCTTCTTTTTCTGTTCCTCCCTTCTTATCTGCTTGGTTTGTCTCCCTATGGGAAGTACAGCAGGGGTCTTGGGTCCTGTATTTTCAGGTGGTGGGTGCTTTCTAGCTATTGATGCTTCAGACTTAGATCTGTGAATACTAGGTACCATTTGATGGCAAACCATTGTAGTAATAAGAAAAGAGGGGAGACTGCTGTCTTTACAGTAGTTTCCAGTCCTCAACCTCTTCAGAAACCTTCTTCAAGTTAATGATAAGGATGAAAAAAGAACACAATCCAGGCTCAGATTGTTTTTGAGGCATGTGTCATCAATGAGATATTGGCAATGAAATTCAATAACAATGTGAGACTGAAAAAGCTTGCCATGGGCTGAAATATCTCCTGGTGGGTGGAACCAGGCAGTTAAGCTCTCTACTGAACTTCCAGACCCACATCAGACTTGGGCTGTTCCAACTGCTTGATCTCAGGTCTTGGTGCAAAGAAACCAAGCTTCAACCATAATTGAACCAATCATTCCTCTGTATGTGTCTTGAATAAACAGGGATGCTGACTCAGAACTGATGGAGGATGCAAGAGAATACATAGCTCTGGCAGGCATGCCCAACACTGGAGCTCCAGAGCAATCATGGGCATTTCTGCAAAAGCAAAATATCATGGGTGAGCACTCTAACCTTGTCTTGGATAATGACTAATGACAGCAGAGATGCATAAATTCTGGATAAACAAACTGGTTAATGTATTGCCACAAGACACTTTGTGTGATGAGCTCCAGTACTGGATGAAAGTAGTTGAGTGTCTTCATGCTTGTGTGGCTGTCCTGGAAGAGATAATCTGCAGCCTGAATGGGAAAGAATATTTAGAGAAAGCACTTGGTGGCCCTATTTGCAGCCTGGAGGATATAATGTCTTTCTTCCAGCAATATCCAGTATCTTCACCCACACTTGCATGCCCTGCACCATGCTGTCCATCACAATTTCAGAACACAGTTGGTCTGGTACACTATATCAATGGTTCCTGGAATCACAAGCATAGATTCCACCAGTACATCATGGAATCAACATATTGTGTACAATGTCAACAACAGTTCCCATCCACCAAGAAGCTCACCTTGCACAAACATAGGCTTCACCTGTCACTTTGAGAATAGATACATTTAGTAAACTTGGCAAAGGCATTCCATGTAAGCCATGATGGCCATAGGCCCACTATAGCTGCTAACTGAAGCAGTCACTCATCAAACTGAAAGGATTGAGCAGGGTAAAACCTCACATGGAGCAGACAATGGTTCAGCTGCAGCAGGTGCCTCTCATTGCAACTCACTTTCCCAGTATGCATTTGTCTAGCACTCAACCAAGGAAAAGACAGAAACATAGTGGCAATGGCAATACAACTCAATCTCAAGTGACATGTTGGATTAATGGCTGCACAGAATGTTGGGCTGCAGAGGATACTGGTGGGGTAGCTGGATGGAAGAAAACCATAATGGCACATGAGCTACAAGCTTAGCAAAAGCAAACTTTCCACTGGATAGAATGCTGTGAGATACACTGCCCTCTTCTTTTTGAGCTGTGATGCTGTACTCTTTACTGGTCCTGATAGCCCAAAGAGAGCTGCCCCCACCATGACTTTTGAAAGGAGATCAATGGCATCATTTATTTCAGTTATCCAGCATGTATGACTAGGCCAAAGCTCTTCCTACAGGGATCAGAGTCTCTGTCCACAATATGTTGATGCATCAAGATGATCAGGTCAAGAAATACCTCCCCAAACAAGTGAGTTGGGAAAGAGAATCTTTTCTGGAAGATGGATTTCAAAATTTGAAGTTCTTCACTCTTATAAGCACAACACAGGGATCAACAAGTCTCAACTGTTGACAAGAGTGCACCAAGATTACTTAGTTTACCAAGTATAAGATTTTGAATCTCAGTCAGACATCTGCTCAGGCCAGGAGGAGCACTGACAAGGTCATCAGAACTGCTGAGGCAATGCATCATGATATGGGCAGCAGATTAACTTTGCGGAAAGAAGACTTGAGTGTGCAAGATATATAACTGATATTTGTCATGAACTCTTGTTGTGAACTCTTGATGTTGTAGTGGTGATAGAAAATATTTGTGATTGCATGGGAGCTGGAGGGGTGTCACACCAAATTTATATTTGCCAGGAAGGCAAGGCTGGCTTGCTGGTGCAAAGATGTGTTCCACAGCCAACACTCAAGAATTCCTTGTCCTGTGGTGTTCATGTTTGCAGTGACCAACAAATACTCAATATTCCTGTTGTAAGATATGCTTAAAGTGTATGCTAGAAAGAAGATGTTTGCTATAGATTATTTCAGTTAAATATTTATTGTGACTTCCTATCCAATACATGTACAATGAAAGGAAAGAAGACTACACCCAAAGCTCTCTGCCATGATTCCAGAAGATATGAGCTTTGAATGCCATGATTTCTTCAGGAATGTACTCCCTTCCTCATTCTCAACAGATGCCACACTTCTTTCTCCTGAATGCATATCCCTTGAGCTCAACACAGTGGACATTCTTTTCTACATGGTCCCAAAAGATGTTGTTATTCCTCCATTTCCTTTTTCTCTGCTTCATAGGCAGTGATGGATCACATATACAGAATGGGCACTCATACTCCTGTAGGGTTTGAGGAACAATGAATGGTATCTTGGGGGTGGGCAATCACCAGAGATGTTGTGTGGGTGGAGGTTGGTGTGCATGTCAATCTAAGGGTTGAGATTCTTTTCAACATTGAAGGCGGACTAGCAGCATGGTAAAGGCACATCACTGCCAGAAGATGTCATCAGGCTTCAAGCCCAATTGGGGCCTGCATGTGAGTTCAACAACCTGTCTCTGCTCTGGGATCTGCAAAATAGGAGGCAGGTGTGGCCTAAGTTCATCCAGCTTCTGGTGGTCTTGAATTCAACAGTTGAACTGTTCTGTATCAGCATGGCAAAAGTGTTGAGTGCAATTTTTTTCGCGGTAATGGTTCCAGAGATAGATTTTTGCGCTATTCAGTTTACTCTGAACTCTCATCTTCTCTCAGTACAGAGTGATCCCAGCTGTCTCTGGAATTGACTTATAGTCTGCTGCCTGGATCCTGGCAGCCAACTGCTAGTTCCTTTAGGAGAGGCTCTGCATCTTTGGATGTGCTGCAATTCACCAGATTTGCTCATCTGTAGACTGCATGGGTGCTGCACAATCAGCATCAAGTCTGAGTGAACACACCAATGCTTGCACTCTTGCCCTAGATGGTATATCTATGTTCATCATGATGGCCTCAATGTCTTCCTGCACAACATGGTTCAGATAGTATTTGACAGTGTTTGAGTCATGGTCAGCAACCTGATCTTGCACTGATGCTGGGATCTTGTCTGCAGAGGAAGAGCAGGTGAGCTGTGCCTTTATTGAATGTCATGTGGGGGAGGTTGCATACTGTTTATGGTATTGATAAGAGTCTGCCGCACCACATACTGGCTGAAAGAGATTTCCATGTCCAAGATAATTGCAATATGCTTCAGGAAACAATGCCATGTCAGACCTGTGAGGGGTTTGGTCTCAGAGGTATGATAGTCATTCTCAGTCATTTCAGGCTCGCGGAAGACAGGGATATCTAGCTTGTCACTCCAGATCTTGACCACCATGCTGTCCAGGTGCAATGGAATCAGATGCCAGTAGATATTCTCAAGTGAGGTGAACTTGGCTTCAAAAGCATCATCATGGATGGCCATGGCAACAAAATGTGCAAGCAGGTCAAATATTGGCTCTGGGTGGTGTATAATAACAAAGACTTTCCTGTGATGCATGTCAGCCTCCAGTTAGTCAAATAATGGGAATAGTAACACATATGTTTGTGGCTTCTTATTCTCCATTTTAGTATGTATCAGATTCACCTTTGCTAGCAAGAAATTAGGCTGTTGTGGTGTTTTGCCACAGATGATGTAGAAGCAGATATGCTGCCAGAGAAACAAGCCTTTTGTTTTGTCTCCAGCATGGCATCCATTGTTGGTGACAGTAGACTCATCATTCATGATAAGATCTGCTGGATCAAAATCACAGCTATCATTCTGGCATTCATTGTTGTCAAGCTGCATCTCATCTTCCACAACATCAGCAGGGTCAAACTTGCCACCAGTGATGTTGCACTTGTGGTTAAGTTGCATTGCCTCCAAGTAGCTGCTATGTGTACCTGTGCTTGATACCTTGCTGAAGATCATGCTCTCAGCCTTGCTCTCAGTAGTGGATACATCATTGTCAGTGAGATCTTCCTTGGAATCAATATCTGAGGTGATATCATTCCCAGAGTCATCACAATCTGCCAGCCAGAATTACACTCTTGATGGTACAGCCATCAGGTTATCCTGTGAGAGTGAAGGCTGGAACCAAGAGGATGTTGCTTGTTCTTTGACTTCATGCTCCTTGAGCCATGGCTCCCCTTCCAGTGGTGGTTTCCCCCTCATGGGGGTATCAAATAGTGAGACTAACCAAGAGCCAGAAATGTAGAATAACAGCAACTCTGCTCCATTCTGCACCTGCTGTCTCTCATCAGCATACACCCTCTTGCACCACTTCCAGTTGGCACACAGGAACAGGTAGATATCATCTTTATTGCTGGTCACAGGCTCACAGGAATGCCATTAGAGCCCCCATTTCTTTTTCCACCTCTCAACCACAACCCATATGTACTGCCAGGTCAGCAAGCTGCACACACAAAAAGCATGTAGGTGAACCATACATTAATACAGTCAGTCCTCATCTCTTCATCAATCTTATTACCCTTATGCTTGACTGTATAGAATGACTTGATTCAACACCAGTAACTCCAGATTGTCTTGTCAGACTTGATCTGGAACTTGTGGGTTTCCTCAAGCCAGTTGAGGAAGGATTTGAAGTTGTGGGCACTGAAGTCCACCATGAATTAATGAGAGGTGGTTTAGAACCTCTCTGAGCAGAAGCTAACCATTGTAGGTTAGCAAGTGGCTGTCCAGATTCACAAGGGAATGGGAGTCAAAAGCCTATCCTCACATCTCAAGTTTCCTCCATACTGTCCATGAGCCTAACTTGATGTTATTCATGCTGTACTTTTTAGTCCAGCCAGCAGACTCATGCTCCTTGGCCCTCCAGACAAAATCTGTATCTGTGGGTGCCAGCCTGAGGCATCAGCTTGTAGAAGGGCAAGCAGCTGCTGTCTTTGCTTGTGATTTGGTGACTGCCATCTGTATCTTCTTCAGTGGGAGCACAACCCAACCAGCTTCAATTGGGAAGGAGAGCAAGCATTTGAGGGACACAAAGATGGAGATATCAACCAGCCTGGGATGGCAGATAGGAGAAGGAATAGGGTGGTGAGAGTGCACAGAGCCTATTATAGACATTCTGAAATAAAGGCCACATTTTCTGCAGGGCAGAAGGAAGAGCTGGTGGGCTGGCAGCTTCATGCTTGGTTGCACCATGTGCAACAAGTGAGTCTGGCTCCAGTGGTCTTGAAGGCTCCATTCTGCCATGCAAGGTAGAAGAGTGAATGGATCACCCAGCAGATCCATTTACTTGATGACATGGGAGAATGGTGGGTGAGCTGAGTGAGCACTGGCAGAGGCAGGGTGATGAGGCCAGAAGAAGACTGAAAAGAGAATCCCCTGCCAAGCCACAGTAATATTAAAGCAGCTTGAGGCACTAACCAGATCAGTGCAGGTGGTCTGTGTGTGATACCACCATGATACGGTCGCGGCCGCCAAAGTGGCACCACAACAATTGCCAGAAACGGCTGTCAATACTGTCAAAGGTGAATACTATGTGGAATTCCAGTACAGGTCTGTAACATGTTAATAAATGTACCACTGTACATTACAGGTCACACAGATAATGTATTGGTCTTTTAACTTCTTATATATTCTGTTCATTCATAATCAAGAACTATTATCACAACCACAAGCTGATCAAGCATCTTGCCATCCAATATGGACCTACTTGCCTGAGATAGTTCATGCACTTAGACTCAAACATAGTCCTGCCACCAGGAATTTGTTTTTCTTATTCATACTGATGAGTAATGTACAATTTTCTTGATTAATCTTTCTAAGTTTGAGCCATTCTTTCCATCCAGTTTCCAAGTTGTAATAGATTAGTGAATTTAAAGGCAGTATGTCTTGACTCAATCTGATTAAGACTTTTATTTATTACTGAAAGCACAAGTTTCTTCAGATTTTGTAATATTCAATTGCTTTTGCATTTCCCAAACAAATACAGCAAGTACCTCAAGAAATTCATCACTTAGGCTTTTTAATTAGCTGGCTAGATCTGCAGCAGTGAGTTGATTCTTGGAGAGATTTCTAGAACTTAGTTCAGACACCTGCCACCTCAAATCATGTATAGGCACTGTCTCTGACAGACATGTGTTCTTGACTTCTAGCTTATTAGCTGCTCTTGCTGCTTCTTGGTTCAGAATTTTATCATCAAGTACTGTGTTCTCAATTGACATCATATTCATGCAGCAGATGTTGTATTTAATTATTTAATTCTGATATGATTCTCACTTGTTAGTTATATTGAACAACTTTTTGACTAAATATTTGTGTGATGCCTCATAATTCTCAGTGTCAAATTCATCAAAACTGTTATAAATGTAGACCTAGACCAACCAAGCATCAGACAACATCAGGTGTTCAGGAGTATTCATGTGACCACAACTCTGAATGTATAAGAATCACATGATTCACATGAATTGTGGGAACCCCAGCATTTAGTCTTCTAGTTAGAGAACCCCTACATTCTATACATGACTCCCTCCCATCAGTTACAGGCATCATATTAACTTAGCTCTTTCATATCTCTAATTCTGGGAAAACCTATGTGATCTACAACCAGTTCTTCTAATATTCTGAACACTCAACATATAATTGCCTAAGTTGATATAATACCACCAAGACCCACAAGACAAATTACAACAACATCCCATATTGCAGACCTGACAGAGATAGACACTAATATAAAGAAGATGAACATTAATGAAGGTGCTAGTGAAGCTACTACCAGCAAGACATCAGCAGATAATACAGGCAACAGAGATACACTTCTTAATATATTAAATGAAACCTGAAGAGAGAAGATCTTTAAAGAAAAGAAGACATCTCTGCAAAAGAATCTAGCAGATATATATAAATAAAACAAGATATACAGACTGCAGAAGCAGATAGAATACAAACAGAGAATAGTAAATAATAATTTCTCTTTAGAGTTCCTCTTACACACACAACTGATAGAGAAGTCAGATAATTTTAATAATGTGAAGCTTCCAAAAGTACTTTACTATCATGGCAAATCACTTGGCAAGTGCAAATTATGGTTAGCTTTAATAAGACAGCAGTTTCACCTGAGAAAATCATTATAAAAAGCACCAGATGCAGTCAGAATTGATTAGATGTCCAGTTATTTTTGTGACAAACTCCAGATGTATTGACAGATATTGGGAATAGAGAGAGAACAACTACTCATATTATAGAATAAATTTAAGATGTGATGTAAGAACAACATTAAATCTGAGTTAACTTGTAGTTGAGACATGATGCAGTATTATCATGATGCTGTCCAATAAGACAATCAATTCATACTCTTGTTTTTTATGTATATTACTGAACTTGAACAGAATCTGGACAGTCTACTAGATAAATTCTTTCATATACTCTTTCTACAGATGAAGCTCAGACTAATCATCTGAGCTGAACTGAATAAACTGCAACACTAACCAAAAATAGTTACAGAATTATGAGAACAAGCAACACTTATTGAGTTCATTCTAGAAAAGAAGAAGCAAAGTCAGTAGAACAAGAATCAAAATAAGAAGAAATGAAAAATCTCAATCTCTTAAGAAAAAGATATGTTCCAACAAGATAATAAAGAAGATTACCTATAAATGAAGAAGATATCAGTAAAATCACTTTCAAAAATATTAGAAGAGAAACACAAATGATAAATGAATGAAGAGCTCTGTCTAAGATATGACTAATCAGATTATAGAGTAAAGTTCTGTATAAATAGCTCTAACAAGTTCCAGCAGACAGACAAAAAGAATAAGAACTGAATGAAGGCTAGAGCTGTAAAGCTCATGCAAGACCCAGGTCAAACATTAGAAAGACAGAGTATTAACTCAATAAAGAAGGCAAGCAGATGCAGTATGTGCCTGTCAGCTGTACTGACTATATTATCAGATGGTCTTACAGAGCAAGCTGCACTTTTGAACTCAGGAATTACAGTGAACAGTATCTTTTACAAACTGATATCTTAATTGGACTGGGATCAACCAGAGATGCTCATGAAAGTCATTGAGATGTTGAACAAAGCTGAGACTGATTAGTACAGCATCTACAAGACTCAACTTACTATAACAGACTCCATGAGGATCACAAAGATGGTAAGATGTATGTTTGCAGTGATTAATATGGTTGACATGAATATAGTTCTAGACATGCCATGGTTAGAAGATTTCAACCTGAACATAAACTGAAAGAACAAGACATGATATTACTGACTCTCAGAGAAAACAGTCAAACTTCTGAATGCAGATAGATTTCTCTAAGTGGTGTGCATCAAGAATAAACTCTCTTATACTATTTTTGTGTCAGATGATAATCAAGTCCTGACAGAAGTATCTGAGTAGTTGAGAAACTATAAAGATGTTTTCTCAGAAGAAAAAGCAGCAGAGTTGCTGGAATTAATGAAGATCAGTCACCTAATTATTTTTAAAGATGGCTGTGAGCCCCTGTATATACTAATTTATAGACTATTGCTCAAGCAGATGGAGATTCTATAAGAGTATATCAAGAACAAGTTATGTAAGAGTTAAATATGTCTGTTATAAAGTCTGGCAGAGACTTCAGTATTGTTTGCACTCAAGACTGATAGAAAACTCAGACTCTGTATTAATTATTGTAATCTTAATATAATCATGATAAAGAACTGTTACCTCTTGCTGTTAATAGATAAGATGTTAAGCTGGTTGACAGAAGCACACTATCTTTTCAAGATAGATCTATATAATGTCTACTACTGGATTAAAATCAAAAAAGAAGATAAATGGAAGACCATGTTTTGTACAAAGTTTGGAAGTTTTGAGTATCTTGTTATATCTTTTGAGTTATCAAATGCACCAGTGATCTTCCAGTTCTATATTAATAGAGCACTGGCAGACCTGGTTGATATATGCTGTATAGTTTATCTAGATGATATTCTTATTTTCTCTGTCTCAGAGAGAGAGCACAAGAAACATGTTAGACTAGTTATGAAATGTTTAAGAGAATATCAGTTGTTTGCAAAGCTTGCTAAGTATGCTTTTAAAAGATGAATAATCTCATATCTTGAATATATTATTAATAATGAAGATATTAAGATGGACCCAAAGCAGATACAGATGATTATGAAGTGGCTCTTGCCATGAAGTTTCCATAATATTTAGATATTTCTGGGTTTTGTGAACTTCTATCAGAGATTCATACAAAAGTACTCAGTTATTATAATACTGTTGACAGATTTCTTGAAGAGCAGTAAAAAGAAAAGAAAGAAACAATCTTTTTTTCTGATATTTACTGTCAGAGAAGTGTTTTGTAAGTTGCAGGCAGTCTTCTTTAAAAAGTCTGTCATCCAGTACTTTAATCCAGAATGTAGAATATATCTGAAGATGGATGCTTCAGAATATGCTGCAGGTATATTATTATTACAGCTGTTTGAAGATAGATGGCACTCAGTTATCTACTGGTCATTCAAGTTTAATCAGGCCCAACAAGCCTATAGCATGCTGGATAAGAAGATGTTGGCCATCATTCAAGCATTTATTCATTCACAGCAGTACTTAGAAGAAATAAAGTATTCTGTAAAGATTATTATGGACCATGCAAATCTCTGTTCATTTATAAAGTTCATGAACAAGATGGCACAACAATAATATGTAAGATGGATAGAGATTCTTGAAGTATATGACTTTAAGATTCTTTACTGCTCTGGAAAGCATAATCCAGCTGACACATTATCACAAAGACCAGATTATATCAAACTAGAAGAAGACATTGGTCTGCTGATGTATATGCTCAAATAATATTATATGGATGGTGTTCCAGAGTGGAATCCATTTAAAGGAACTTTCTTTAATAAAGAAGATATTCAAGTACATGCTGCTTGTGCTGTCCAAAGCAGTAGGGTAGAGATGGTGCAGGGAAGACCTGGTAGCATCAAGATGATTGAGTTAGTTCAGGGAGCACCAGCCAGAGATGCTGGAGAGGCTCAATAAAGAAATTACAGAAGATTCTGGATTCCCTGTATGCACACAAACATGGCAACAAAAGATGAAAAGATCTATAACAAACTAACTGTGAGTGTGTTGAATCTGCTGCTAGAAGCACAGAGAGATGATTTCTCTGTACAAGCAAGATTTACTGAGGCAGAATCTCAGCAGTCAGAGTAGAAAATAAATGAATGAAATCTTTTAATGAAGAGTGGCAGAATTTACATCTCTAAAGATCCAGCTCTAAGGCAGGAACTACTACAAGTTCACTATAATAACTCATTTACAGATTACTTTATTGTAGCAAAGATGTTTATCTTGCTCTGGTAAAAATATAATTAATAATTAATGAGACAAGATGTTCAGATGTATATACACAAATGTCAAACCTGTTAATGAGAAAAGACTTCAATATACAAATCATATAAGTTGCTTGCATTATTGCTGACATCCAGTGGTCCCTGATATTCAATATTTATAGACTTTATAACAGATCTTCCTTCAAGCGGAGAGAAGAGGAATCCATATAACACAGTCCTAGTTATTATAGATTGATTTACAAAGCTTGCATGTTTTCTTGCATGTAGAAAGAAGATTAATATGCCAGAGATGGCAAATCTTCTGTTCAGAAGAGTGTTTAAAGATTTTGGATTTCCAAATAATATTATTTTGGACTGGGGATCTGTCTTTACAAGTGAATACTGATTAGAGCTATATTTTCACATGAAAGTTAGATGAAAACTTAGCACAGTATTTCACCCACAAACAGACAGCCAAACAGAGACACTGAACAAGATCTTGAAGAGATATCTCCACACCTATTGTAGTTATAGGCAAGATAATTGAGAGAAGTGGCTTGTGTATGCAGAATTTGCATACAACAGGTCAGAATACTCTGTAATACATATGTTCTCATTCAAAGTAATGTATGGCTTCAAATCTAGAGAATCAGACAAGATCCAGAAGTTGATTGATGATGATAATGATGCACAGACAATATCTGATGGAAGACTAAAAATAATCTCTGTATTAAGATATAGTCTGGTAGAATGTTTGATGAAAGCAAAAGAGAATCAAGCATGGTTCTATAACTAAAGATATCAAGATAAAGTGTATGCATCTGGTGATGAAGTGATGTTGTTATCAAGAAATCTATAAACAATACATTCTTGCAAGAAGTTAGATGACAAGTACTACAGATCTTTCTCAGTAATAGAGGCTATAGAAAATAATGCATATTGACTAAAGCTCTTTTAAAGCTATCAGATTCACAATATTTTCCATGTCTTATTGCTGGAACCATACTGCATGAGAATGAGTGAGGCACTAACACATTCTCCTGCAGTACTAGTGAATAATCATCATGAGTAAGAAGTAGACAAAATCTTGAATGACAAAGTATGCTATTGTAAGAAATGCTACCTAGTAAAATGGAAGGGACTTCTTATTGAGAAATTGATGTGGGAACCTGAGGAAAATCTTGAAAATACACAAGAAGTTCTTAAGAATTATCTATAAAAGAAGTGAAGTCATTCTAAGATGAATAAACCTATATACAAAAAGAAGACTAGACATGCTAAAGATCATCACATATAATGAAATCAAACAACTAGTAATAAGAAGAGGTACCATGAGAGTATCTGAAATATGACTGTAATGAAGATGAACCAGTCAAAGATGAATGTGGTTCTGGAGTTACTGAAACTGGTGATATGATAACAGATGGTACTGCAACAAAAGTAGGCTTAACAGATAAAGAGTCATGAGAAGAATGAATTATGTCTACAATGCTCTGGAAACCAGAGAAGATAATATTAGCCAGACAGTTAATGAAAGATATAAGATTGATTTAGACAGAGATTAGTCTAATAACAAGAGAAAATAATAAAGAAAATCTACAAGACTGCTTTCTGTAACACTTTGAAAAGCTTTGGCTTCATCTGTTAAACAAGTGGTAAAATAATCAAGTGAAACTTAGACATTTCTGATTTTATTTTCTATCTGAGACAAGACAGTACAAACTGGAATTGTTGAATGAAGAAGCTTAGACAAACTATCTTTAGTAGATTCTGTTTTAAACACAAGGTTCATGGTTTAGTTTCATGATATGATGCAGGATAATGATGTTTTGTAGAAGATTCTTCAAGACAAGAAGTAGTCTGGTAGTAATGATGTTTGGCAGCTCCTGAGTCAAGCTTATGAAACTCTTGTATAAGTACACTCATGCACTTTATATTGTATGGGTGACATGGATCAGCTATATTAAAACTATAGTATTCTTCTTGAAGTTGCAAGAGCTGACAAACTAGTTTAACAGTAGATTCTGGAACCTACAACTATATCAGAATAACAAGAAGAATGAATAAAGACATACTTACATTACAATAGATATAGATTTGATATTCTAAACAATAAGAACAAGATTTCTTCTTGATATCTTATAAACAAGACTTGCTTTCATTCAGGTGGTCTGTGAACATCAAGTAAATGCAGATGAAGCACAGAAAAGTGTTTTCTTTATTATATACAACAGAGTCTTTCAATAATAATATTGTAATGAGTTATAAAATGAATGAGTAACAATGCCAGAGCTCAAATAAAGCAGAAGAAAAAGAAAAAAGAAGAGAGTCAGAAACTCTCTATTTATACTCATGCCATAATGCACTAAAGTTACTAGTTTCATGACTTGTTGATAGATAATGTGATAATGAACAACAGATGATATAGCAATCAGACAAGCAAACAAACAAAGAAACAAGTATATGATGAAATGCTAAATGTTTGTAATAAAATAATTACTGTTCTATAATAAAGAATGTCTACTGCAACCAGCAGCAATATGCATGTGAAATATCTATATAGACAAGCAGTAGTAAGGCAGAAGCTTGCACATTCAAGAATCTATAATGCTTCACTAATGATAGAGAAGCTATAATAATGTATGAAAAACCACTTCAGTAGCTCTATATCTTGAAGTCTGAGGCCTCTGGAGGGGGAAATAGTGTTATGAATGTAGATCTAGATTAACCAAGCATTGGATGATATCAGGTGTTCAGGGGTATTTATGTGACCCTAACTCTGAACATATAAGGATCACGCAATTTACATAGATTGTGAGAACTCCAGTGTTCAGTCTTCTAGTTAGAGGACCTCTACATTCTACACACAATTCCCTTCCATCAGTTGTGGGCATTGTACTAACTTAGCTCTTTTATACCCCTAATCCTGGGAAAACCTACGTGACCTACAACTGGTTCTCCTAACAATATCTAAGACTTAGCCCTAAGTTATTGCTAAGCAGGGGCCTAGAACCCACACACTCAGCCCTGGAGAGTCAAGATAGGCCTGGAGTGCTCTGTGTAGCTTGTTTCCCCCTGCCAGCCACTAACCAAGCATGCAGCTAGTGGTCAAGCATGCCCCCCACCTTGCACACAGTGGGGCAGCAAGGGTTCCAGACAGTCAGATGGTTTTCAAAGCTATTCCCCAGTTAAAGGCAGCCTCTAGAGGCTCCTGGCTTTTAGTTGAGAATAGAGCCAAAACTATCTGAATTTTATTGCCTTCTTTGGCGGGCAAAAAAGCATTAGTGGTGCCCGTGAGGGGATTCAAACCCCCGCCCCTGGGGAAGGGCAGCCTGAGCTAGGTGGTGCTGTTGCTATTGAGCCACCTGCACCAGGCTATATTTCTCTAAACAAACTTGATTTAATTCTGTAACTCTCTTTGCTACTAGATCAACTTTTTCATTTTCATATATATTTACATGTGCAGGAATCCAATGAAGATGTATATTAATTTGCTGATTTTTAATATACTTAGCAGTTTTTCTTATAGATTGAAAATAATATAAGCCAGAATTGAGATCTTGATTCATGAGTCTCTGAATAGCAGCTTGGCTATCAGAAAATACCTAGATATCTGATATTAATCTTGACTAAGATTGAGAGATAGAACTTGTTAATTTAAATACTTTATTTATAGCAAACAGTTCTGCATCAAAAACTTCAAGATATTTGTCTAGATTCTGTAAAAATCTAATATTATCTTGTAGATTGTATACACCAGCACTAGCATATTGATTTTCTTCAGCTTTGAATTCATCTGAATAAAGGATTAAAGATTTATTATCTAGATTGTTAATTCTATTTATATAACTATCTTTAGCTGTTTTCTTGTCTGATTTTTTAATTTGAATATCTATTAAATCAGCTAGATTTTCAGACCAAAGTGCATTTCATTTTGCTTTGATTCTCTCTGTTTTTAGAGAAGATAATATGTTTGAAATTATTGAACAAACTCTGAATAGTTGACTTGGATATCTTTTTTGTTTATTGATTTTTCTTCTTTTTAGTTGGTGTTTGTTCAACATATTCATTATTTAATTCTGATTGATTTCAATCTAAAAACCTTCCCCAATCAAGAGCAATACCATTATCATAAGGTGGAAAGCTAGAAGATACTCTTTCTCTAATTGCATATTCTTTTGGTATTTTTAATAGTCTATAAGCATAGTTTCTACATAGTCTATTAAATCTTACTTTGACAGAAGAAATAGCAGCTTCAATCTTTATAGCACAGTAAATCTTCCAGAGATCTTTTTCAATGTAATCAAGTTCTGTAAGAGTATATGTGAGAGTTTTCTCATCATTCAATTTGCTTGCATTACAAGTGAATTTAATGCTGAAGATGAACTGCCAATATTTTGTATAGAAGCCAGTCTGATAGAGCTTTGTGTGTTGTGGTGATCTCAAGACTGATAGATGCTTTGCAGATATTAGATTAGAGATGATTATATCAAGAGATTCACTTTGTGAGTGCTTTTGGATGGCCTGGAGAGTATTTAACTTTTCTTGTCATTTCATCATTCTCTTTAGTAGTTTGGTTTTCTCACAAAGTTGTTGGATTTCATCTCTTGATGCTAAGATAGACTCTCTCTCTGAGATTGCAATGCTAGTTGCAAGCTATATAAAGTTGTCTCATAGTGTAGTAGGGATTCCGGTACCTTATTAGGACAAAGGTTGTTCCAGTCTAAGGTGCAAACCACTTCAAAGCTACTATTCCTAAGCTATATAAACCATCTATAGCCTCTGCATCTTGCTTATTATCTTTGTGCACCATTGCTCTTTTCTACACACTTATTCTTTATTACCAGTTCAGTTATTAGTTAGAGAATATGAAGATCTCTTGTTTATCAAACTTGCTACTGTTTCTTATTAGAGCTGCCTGTGTTAGTACAAAGCTCTTTAGTACTATTACTCCTTATAAGCTTTGGTGTCTGTTAGAACATACCTATCTCTATACTTACTACTCAACCATACCCTTACTATATTGTGATTTTTCATCTTTCTTGTACTCTCACCATATCAACTAACTTATCTATCTTGATAAGGCATTCTATTGTACCCTGCTTCATTTGGTGACCAAGCTAAGATCTGAAGATAATAATGTGGTAATTTGATAACTATCAAAAAAGAAAAACACATTCTAAGATACATAAAGCAATACACTATTTCAAGATAAGACCTTATGGACTAGGAACACAGTACTAATCAGGTTTTTTTATTTAAGAATAAGATTAGGGAGCTTAGATTTAAATGCCTCTTATTTAGAGCTTGTCTAATAAACAGGTTTTTGGAAGATATTGACTTATAGACAGAATATACTGTGTGACATAACCAAAGATCAAGAAATCAAGAAATCAGAATCAGAATTAACTATGGCTGAAGGTACTACAGAATCATATGTAACTATATCACAGAGTGAAGACAAGAGAATTGTGGTTCATTCCCACATTTCTATGCCTTCCCCTGGCATGGCAAATGCATCTTAGTTTGATGGCAGAGATGCTATCCTGTTTATTGAAAGGTTTTATCAGATGTGCAAGAATCATGGGGTAATTAATTCTAAAAACATTATTGAACAGTTGGCTAGGCACTGTGTTATATGAATTGAAGAATGAATGAAGATCTTGAAAGACTACAAAGAAGATAATTGGGGAGTATTCTTCAAAGAGATTATTCATGAATTTTGTGATCAAGACATTACTTACAAGATTTACTATTGGAATTATCTTCAAACAATTACAAAGAAACTGCATGCTTGAGATAGCAATATTTGTACTTATATTTGAGAATACACTACTATCACCAGTACTGTACAAGCCAATGGAAGACTTGATGAATTCACCAAGATGTCTTGATTTTTTCAGAGGTTATCTGAAAATAGGCTGGTATTTGGGACCGGGACAGGATCCCATTTTCCATTGAAGCTGGTCCCAGTCCTGAATTTAGAAACAGCCAGGATCCCAAACATGAAATCTTAGTTCCATGTTCCATCTTACTCAAGAGCTTGAGATCCTATTCCCATTACTATTTCATAAATTATTTCCCAGTCCTATTCTCAAATAGAAAATTATGTTCCATGTCTTATTCCAGCAGAGAAGGTAGGCCCCCATTTCCCATTCTGGCTAAGTCTATAGTGGGACCAGAATGAGATCAGATTTCTCAGCCCCATTGTATCAAGAGTCAAACTAGTCAAATTTTGTATAGACCATTACCAAATTTCATTACTTTTTTGATGAAGGCAGAACTCTTAGAAAAATCAATTTCATTGTTAAAGAAAAAAACAAAGTATTAAAACTAAGTAATAATCAAAGCCAGTAAATAATCAGAAACTGCCTAAATGACAAGTTCATCATTCTCATTATTATCATTATTCTCATTATCATCATTATTCTTGCTATTGTTATCATTCTCTTTCTCTTTCTTCTTCTTTCTCTTTTTCTTCTTCTCTCTCTTCTTCTTCTTCTTCTTTTTCTTCTTCTTCTTCTTCTGCTCCTCCAGAACCAGCTTTGTGAACCAGACAGGGACTCTAATACCCACTATTTGACAGGCAGAGACCCTGTTGGTGCTGAGAGAAGACAGAGAGATAGTGGTGGACAGTGGCAGTAGTAATGGAGCAGCAGCAGGAGTAGTTAATGGGGCAGGGACAGAACACAGACAGCAGGTGATAGCAGCAGAGGTGGAGGCAGCAGGGGCAGAGTGATCAGGCATATTAATCAGACTGAAATAGTTTGATCTGGTCATGGCACTGATGCCAAGAATGAGCTTCATGTCATCAGCATTGACTGTAACACATGTATAGTGTGCTATTGCTATAACAGAGTCTATATTACTCAGTATAATTATTGATACCATTGCCAATAGTAACTTATACTTAAACAGAGTGCATAAGATTATTTCAGCAGTCTTCTGAAGTAACTTAATAACAGTATGTTGCCAGCAATATTCATGTTCTTGATGATAAGATAAAGTAATTTTCTGAATCAATTACTAGAACAGGGCCACTAGAAGAATTAGCTCTGTAGAGCTCTGGAAGTAGCAGATTTCTTTAATAGCATCTATTTCATCAATTAGCATCAAGACCATTATCAAAAATTATTACTTTTTGACATACAAGTGCTGGACTTCCAATTATGAATCAGGGAACAGGAGCAGAGATTCTTCTGATCAAAGTTGGCCAGGTCAATGTCTTTATTAACTTTACACTAATTACTCTTCTTCAAAGCTCATTCTTTCAATACAGTCTTGTGCTGCTTCTCTCCAGCTGTGCAAAATGGATGCACATGAGAAAAACTAACATTTTGTCAGTAAACAATGTGCATCAGAGCAGAATTCTGCAAGCACTCATCTCTTAACACAACCCATTGTTACAGTACAGTTTGTTGTACAGAGGAATGTTGAAGAGCAGTAAATAAAAAGAGAAACCTGGAAGAGAGGAGAAAATCATCAATATTAGCTCTGAAGAGAAAAAAGAAGAAGAGAAAGAGAAAGAGAAGAGAAGAGAAACTGATTTTATATTATTATTCTGCAGCAGTATAGCAATAACATGTTGAGCTTGCCTATAGCAACATGCCTGTAGAATGTAAACAATGTGTATAGTAACTATTCTACACAAGTACTTGATCAATACACTTCATATTTCTATTATTCTGTAGCCAGTATAGCAACAACATATTGAGCTTGCCTATAACAACATGCTTATAAAATGTAAACAATGTGTATAGTAACCATTCTATACAAGTAGTTGATACATTCTATAATTCTATCATGCAGTGCCTCCAATTCAACTCATTACATACAATTATGAAGATGGGGCCAAAGCAATATTTAATAAGAAAGAAGACCTGGGCAGCACAAAAGCACTGTCAGACCTTGAAAGATTATTAAAAAGACATATTCAAGGCAGAAGAGACAGATTGCAAGGTACATCATAATATGCTGAAGAGAATTCAAGTCAAATATAAGTAGTATGCACTCTTAGTGATTTGCATTAAATTATATTAACATTCATTGCAGGCAGAATAGCAGCAAGAAGAATCACAAGATGATTGAGGATAAAGTTATTGAACAGCTGATGGCCAAGCAATTTGCCAAGAGTAAGTCAAAGAAGTACTATAAGCACCAGCTCATGATCTCTCAGCAAAAGAAGAGAGAGAAGAAGAAGAAGCATCATCAAGAAGAGATTACAGAAATCAAGAATAAAGCTTGACAGAATAAGAAGATAGAATTTAAAAGTCACAAAATTTGATAATAATTCTAATATATTTAGGTCAAAACAAGCCAGATGTAGCATTTTATTGCTGCATATAAGCAGGCCCAGTTCTGTCAAATAATAGTCAAGCTCAAGATCAAGATTATAACTCATGATCATAATTGTCTTGCTGCAGTCAGTGTATCAAGAGAGAGGGTTAAGAAGAAGATGAGAGGATTTCTGAGCTAATTATAAAGTCTGATAGAAGACAATAACAGCTTACCTGCCTCAGAGAAGATGGAGAAAGATGATTTCAAGATTGTGATATTCTCTAATAAGAACAATAAGAAGAACAATAAGATGAATAATGATTGAATTGTTGATATCTAGAAGAGAAAGTTAAGTTTTTAGTTCTTTTTTTTATATTAATTTGAGAATGGGGTGCTATTAAATTGGCAAAATATTTTATTTTCCTGAAGAAGAATGTTTTATTTTGTAGATAATAATTTTGTAGTTGGTTACTGTGCAGAGTAAAATAAGCCTAACTAGCTGAGTTATCAAATTTTGCTTGAACTCTTACCAAATTTTGTTACTTTTTTGACTAAGACAGAACTCAGAGAAAAATCAATTTAATTATAAAAAAAAAAAATCTAATTAATGGCTGAAGTCAGTAAACAAGCAAAATCTACAGAAGTTTCTTCAGAATTAATCATAGTTCAACATGGAAAAAAATAATTTATATTGTGAAAGAAGCAGCATCACAAGTTGTTTGTTACTTGATGGTTGACTACTGAAGCTGCTCAGTTAGTTAAGGATAAGTGTGATGACTCCAACTGAAAGGCAAAGCAATACTATTTTAATTTTTGGCCAAAATTTGATCAGGTGGCAGAGCATTCTAAGAGCACTTCAGAAGTGATTTGCAAGCATTGCTAAATCTTTCTCAGTTATTCAAGCTTTTCTTGAAACAGTACAAGTGATCTGAAGAAGCATTTAACTAGCAAAGACTGTACAAAAACTAGTGATAGACAGAGTAACACTCTGATTAACATAATGGTAGGTCATGAATTCTAATTTTTCAAATATAATGGATTTTAGTAATGGTTCTGGTGTCTTAGTAACAGTTTTCAAAGCATTCTCAAACAAATTCAGATCTGCCTGTTTCTGAATATAATTAAGACAATTTTCTTCAGCAGCTTGTGTGAACATTAATATTCTTAAATCTCTTATTTTGTGCTATTGAGAATCCAGCATTCCACACATTAATAATCATGCTTAACCCTGCAATGGCATTACAGATATCTATATGAGAAACATTATATCAGGTTATGAATAATATATACAATCAGCTATTCTGAAATCTTCTCTTTAACTATAATTCAATAACTAAGATATCTCTAGTGATGAATAATTGGACAAGTCTCAATAATCTTGTCTTTATAGTAATTAATAGTTATTACATTATAAAGAATTGAAAGTACTATAAGCATTTACTGGGTTTTGAAAGTTTAGAGAGTGCTTGTACTGGCAAGAATATAATAGAGATTCTTCAATAATTATTAGCAGTATAGAGACTTGAAAGTAATCTTCTTGTAATTACAAGTGACAATATATTAAACAATGATACTATACAAGCATATCTTATATATCAGTTAAGGCCAGCATTACAGCAGTTGAACAAGATAACTAATTAAAATACAGACAGTGAAACAATACCCTGTCTTACTTATATAATTTAACTTGTGGTTTGAGAGCTGATTTGCAATCTCAAGATTCAGCTAGATAATAATACTCTACTTACTATCTTTGATAAGAGCTTAATTACTAATAATCTAGCATTAACAGACATATTTGCAAATACTCTTAGAAAGATAATGAAATTTGATAATAGTCTTGATATACTTGAGTTGATTTACTAATCTTTGCTTAATAATAAATTTGTCTTGTTACTAATGTAATCAATGTCTCTCTCCAACTTGCTGCATGTTTCTAAGAATATCAACAAGAGAATCAGTACAAGATGATTCAAGATGTTTACACAAGATAGAATTCTATCTATAAGATGTATATTTGTGTTTTGTTACTTTAACAAGCTGTGAACTTATGAATTCAGAACTCATCATCAAAATACCAAAGACTTTACTTATTAAATCATGACTGAAAGCAGATAGAGTATATAATTAGACTGTTGCAGTTATTCAGTTAATTTATCAAGATACTGTTCAAAACAACAGATTTAATAATTTATCTAGTATAGATAATCTACAATCATCTTTTCCAGTATTTAGAAAGAGAGAAGAACAAGACTCAACAGTTAATAACAAGAGAGAATATTAAAGAAGCTATCAAAGCTGCCAGCTTAAAATTTCAGAAATACTATAGTAATACTGAGTATTCAAAGAGTGAGCTGCTAGCTGTAGCTGCTGCTCTTCATTCATCACACTGTATGAGAGCATATGATTCAGAGAATTAGACCAGTAATAAGTGTGAAACATACTAACAACATATTTTAAGATTTTACAAAAAGTATTATGAGAAATATAAACAGCTAAGAGAAGTAATACTTGATGTAAATGATGTATATTTATTATAAGTATTATTCTGATTTTCTCTCTGCTAACTTTTCTAGAATATTGAGCAAATGATTTTTGAGAGACTCTATTAAAGACAAGCAAATTTTCAAAATAAAATGCAGCAATATTTAAATAATAAGAATTTAACATTATCTTAAGCTCTAATTCTGGAACAGTGAAGAATGCTAGAGTCTGATTTTTCAACTGTTACTCAGATGGCAAGAGATATTCTGGCTGTATTTTTGACAGAGATTGAGATAGAACAGGTTTTCAATGTTGCTTGGAATACATATTCTTATTAATAATCATGGCTTCATGCATCTACAATCAAGAAGATCATGCTACTTAAATATAGAGACAAGATACATATGCTGAATGAAGCACTCATATTACATGAGAAGTTGATCAAGAAAGTCATTCAAGACAATCAAGATGATCAAGATATCTCAGAGATTGTACAGAAAGAGATTGCAAGCCTGCTAAATCCACTACTTAATCTAGATAAGAAACAGAAAATGCATCAATATTATTAATAGATAGAGTCAAGTAGCTAAAGTCTAATAGCTTGCAATATAATTCAATTATGTAAAGAGTGTTACCAAATTTCATTACTTTTCCAAAGTTGAATAAATTGATAAAATTATGTTAGAACTGTTATCAAATTTCATTACCTTTTGACAACACAAATGGGACTGGAATTCTCAGTCCCATTCTACACTTTACTGGTCCTGTCCTATATATAATATTGAAATCCCAGTCCTATCCCATTTTGTCATGACCAGGTCCCAGGCCTATCCTATTAACTAGATTTTGATTCTGGTCCCAATTCCATCCCAATTCCAGCTTCTATGGAACTGTCCCAATATGCTGTTAAACAACCCAGTTCCATTCTGTTAAGCTGAGCTTTAACCTGATTCTGTTCTTGGGACAGAAATTGGGACAGGAATCCAGAACTGGAATGGGAAATTCCAGAACCAGATACCACTCTACTGAGAATGATTTCCACATTAAAGAATAGTCTGATAGAATATTTGACAAAAGTAAAAGAGAACCAAGCATGATTCTATAATTAAAGATATCAAGATAAAATGTATGCACCTGGTGATAAAATAATGTCATTATCAAGAAATCTATAAATAATACATTCTTGCAAGAAGTTAGACAACAAGTACTATGAGTCTTTCTTAGTAATAGAGGCTATAGAAAATAACACATATTAACTAAAGCTCTCTCTGAGCTATCAGATTCACAATATTTGCCATGTCTTATTGTTGAAACTGTACTGCACAAGAATAGATAAGATGCCAACACATCTCTCTGTGGTACTGGTAGACAACTATCATGAGTGGAGAGTAGATAAAATCTTGAACAACAAAGCACACTACTGCAAGATATATTACTTAGAAAAGTGGAAAGAATTCTCTATTAAGAAATTAACATGGGAACCTGAGGAATATCTTAAAAATGCACAAGAGACTCTTAAGAATTATCTAAAGAAAAGATATAATTACAAGAAGATAAATAAATCTACATACAGAAAGAAAGATAAACATAACACAAAACAAACATAAAGATTACAACATGTTTATAAAATCAAGAATTTAACAGTGAGAAGGTGTACTATAAGAGTGCCTGAGATATAGCTGTGACAGTAGTAAACCAGCTATAGACAAGCAAGACTTGGAAGTTGCAAGTATGTTTGGTACAATGATGGAAAGAACCACAATAGAAGATGTAGTTACAGAGAAAGATATTACAGATAAAGAACTATAAAGAGAATAAAGTATTTCTACAATACTTCAAAAACCAGAAGAAACAATATTAGTTAGATAATTAATTAAAGACATGAGGTTGGTCTAAGCAGAAGTTAGTCTGAGAACAAGTAAGATAATACAGAAGATCTACAAGATCAGTTTCTATACTATCTTAAAGAGCTTTGATTTCACTTATTAAATAAGTTGTAAAATAGTCAAGTATAGAGTGGTATCTGGTTCCAGGATTTCCTGGCCTGATTCCAGATTCCCATCCCAATTTCTGTTCCAAGGACAGGATCAGGTTGAAGCTCAGCTTAATGAGATGGGACTGGGTTGTTTAACAGCATATTGAGACAGTTCCATGGAAACTGGGATTGGGATGGAATTGGGACTGGAATCAAAATCTAGCTAGTAAAACAAGCCCAGAACCTGATATGACAAAATGAGATAGGATCAGGATTTCAATATTGTATATGAAACAGGATCAGTAAAGTGTAGAATTGAACTGGAAACTCTAATCTTATTTATGTTGTCAAAAAGTAATAAAATTTGGTAATAATTCTAACATAATTTTATCAATCTATTCAACTTCAGAAAAGTACCAAAATTTGGTAATGCTTTTTGTATAATTGAATCATATTGCAAGCTATTAGCTACTTGAGTCTATCTATTAATAACATTAATGTATTTTCAGTTTCTCATCTGAATTAAGTAGTGAATTTAGCAGGCTTGCAATCTCTTTCTGTACAATCTCTGGAATATCTTGATTATCTTGATTGTATTGAATAACTTTCTTGGCCAACTTCTTATATAATATGAGTGCTTCATCTAGCATATGCATCTTATCTCCATGTTTAAGCAGCATGATCTTCTTGATTGTAGATGCATAGAGCTATAATTATTAATAATAATATGTATCTCAAGCAATATTGAAAACTCATTCTACTCCAATCTCTGTTAAAGATATAGTCAGAATGTCTCTTGCTATCTGAGTAATAGTTAGAAAATCAGACTCTAGCATCCTTTACTGTTCCAGAATTAGAGCTTGAGATAATATTAAATTCTTATTATTTAAATATTACTTCATTTCATTTTGAAAATTTGCTTGGCTTTGATAGAGTTTCTCAAAAATCATTTACTTAATATTCTAGAGAAGTTAGCAGAGAAGAAATCAGAGTAATACTTATAACAAACATATATTATTTATATTAAGTATTACTTCTCTTGACTGTTCATATTTCTTATAATGCTTTTTGTAAAATCTTAAAATACATTGTCAGTATATATTACACTCATTACTGATTTAATTCTCTGAATTATATGCTCTTATATAATATAATGAATGGAGAGCAGCAGCTACAGCTAGTAGCTCACTCTTTGAATGCTTAATATTATTATAGTATTTCTGGAATTTCAAGTTAGCAGCTTTGATAGCTTCTTGAATGTTCTCTCTTATTATTAACTGTTGGATCTTGTTCTTCTCTCTTTCTAAATACTGGAAAAGATAATTGTATATTATTTATATCAGATAAATTATTAGATCTGTTGTTTTGGACAGTATCTTGATAAATCAACTGAATGACTGCAACAGTTCAATCATATACTCTAGCTGCTTTCAATTATAATTTAATAAGCAAAGTCTTTTGTATTTTGGTAATGAGTTCTGAATTTATAAGTCTACAGCTTGTCAAAGCAACAAGATATAAATACACATCTTATAGATGCAATTTAATCTTGTGTGGATATCTTGAATTATCTTGTACTGGTTCTCTTGTTAATATTCTTGAAAATATGCAGTAAGTTGAAAGAAGACATTAGTTGTATTAGCAATAAGATAAATCTATTATCAAGCAAAGATTAGTAAATTAACTCAAGTATATCAAGATTATTACTAAATTTTATTATCTTTCTAAAAGTATTTACAAATATGTTTGTTAATACTAGATTATCAGTAATTAAGCTCTTATTAAAGATAGTAGATAGAGTATTATTATCTGACTGAATCTTGAGATTGCAAACCAGCTCTCAAATTACAAGTTGAATTATATAAGCAAGACAAAGTATTGTTCTACTCTCTGCATCTCAATTAGTTATCTTGTTTAACTGCTGCAATGCTGGCCTCAACTAATGTGTAAGATGTGCTCACATGATATCATTGTTTGACATATTATTACTTGTAATTACAAGAAGATTGCTCTCAAGTCTTCATACTGCTAGTAATTATTGAAGAATTTCTATTATATTCTTGTTAGTATGAGTACTCTCTAAACTTTCAAAACCCAGTAAATACTCATGGTACTTCTAATTCTTTATAATATAATAATCATTAATTACCATAAAGACAAGATTATTGGAACTTGTTCAATTATTCACTATCAGAGATATCTTAGTTATTAGGTTATGATTAAAGAGAAGATTTCAGAATAACTCATTATACATATTATTCATGATCTGATATAATGTTTCTCATATAGGTATCTGTAAAGTCATTGCAAAGTTGAGCATGGTTATTAATGTATAGAATGCTGGATTCTCAATAGCATGAAATAAGAGATTCAAGAATATTAATGTTTGCACAAGCTGCTGGAGAAAATTATCTTAATTATATTCAGAAACAGGCAGATCTGAATCTGTTCAAGAATACTTTAAAAACTGTTGCTAAAACACCAGAACCATTACTAAAATTTATTACATTTGAGAAATTAGAATTCATAACCTACTATTATATTAATCAGAGTGTTATTCTATCTGTTACCAGTTTTTATATAATTTTTGCTCATTAAATGCTTCTTCAGATCACTTGTACTGTTTCAAGAAAAGCTTGAATAACTGAGAAAGATTTAGCAATACTTGCAAATCATCTCTAAAGTACTCTTAGAATGCTCTGCCATCTGATCAAATTTTGATCAAAAATCAGAATAACATTACTTTATCTTCCAGTTGGAATCACCATGCTTCTTATTATTAATCAACTGAGCAGCTTCAGTAGTCAACTATCAAGTAACAAACAACTTATAATACAGCTTCTTCCACAATACAAATTATTTTTTTCTATATTAAATTATGATTAATTCTGAAGAAATCTCTGTAGTGTTTGCTAGCTTCAGCTATTAGATTTTTCTTTTTTTTTTTTTTTCACAATCAAATTAATTTTTCTCTAAGTTCTGCCTTAGTCAAAAAAGTAACAAAATGTGGTCAGAGCCTATGCAAAATTTGATAATCTCTAAATAGTTAGTCTTATTTTACTCTGTAAGTACAGCAATTAACTACAAAATTTTCTTCTTCTACAAAATGGAACATTCTTCTTCAGAAAAATAAAATATTTTGTCAATTTAATAGTACTCCATTCTCAAATTAATATGAAAAAAAAACTAAAAACCTAACTTTCTTTTCTAGATATTAATAATTCAATCATTCTTTATCTTATTGTTCTTCTCATCATTCTTATCAGAGAACACTATAATCTTAACATCATCTTTCTCTATCTTCTTTAAAGCAGATGAGCTGTTATTATCTTTACTCAGACTCTGTAATTAGTCTAGAAATTCTCTTATCTTCTTTTCAACTCTCTCTCTTGACATACTGACTGCAGCAAGATAATTATAATTATAGAACATAATCTTGGCCTCAAGCCTGACTATTATTTGATAGAATCAGACCTCTCTATATGCAGTAATAGAATACTGCATCTGACTTATTTTGGCCTAAATATATCAGAATTGTTATCAAATTTTATTACTTTTAAATTCTATCTTCTTTTTCTGCTAAGCTTTATTCTTAATCTCTATAGTCTCTTCTTGATAATACTTCTTCTTCTTCTCTCTCTTCTTTTGCTAAGAGATTATAAGCTGATGCTTATGATACTTCTTTAACTTGTTCTTAACAAATCACTTGACTATCAACTCTTTAATAGCTTTATTTTTAATTGTCTTGCAATTCTTCTTACTGCTATTCTGTCTGCAATGAATATCAATATAATTTAATACAAATTACTGAGAGTGCATATTACTCATATTTTGCTTGAATTCTCTTTAGTATATTATAGTATATTTTGTGATCTGTGTTTTCTGTCTTGAATATATCTTTTTAATAATCTTTCAAAATCTGGCAGTGCTTCTGTGCTGCACAGATCTTCTTTCTTATTAAATATTGTTTTGGCCCTATCTTCACAATTGTATGCAATAAGTTAAATTACTGGCTATAAAATAATGAAATTATAAAGTATATTGATCAAGTACTTGCATAGAATAATTACTATATACATTGTTTACATTCTACAGGCATGTTGCTATAGGCAATCTCAATATGTTGTTACTATACTGACTACAAGATAATAAGATTATAGAGTGTATTGATCAAGTACTATAGAATGATTACTATACACATTGTTTACATTTTACAGGCATGTTGCTATAGGCAAGATTAATATGTTATTGCTATACTGGCTACAGAATAATAACATCAGGTCAGTTTCTCTTCTCTTCTTCTTTCTCTTCAGAGCTAATGTTGATGATTTTTCTCTCTCTCTTCAATTATCTTTTTATTTACTGCACTTTAATATCTGCACATACAATAAATATATACTGCAACAAAATGGATTACATTAAGAGATAAGTGCTTGCAGAATACTGCTCTAATGCATATTATTTACTGACAAGATGTTAGTTTTCCCTGTATATATCTATTTCATACAGCTGGAGAGAAGCAGCACAAGACTGCATTGAAAGAATGAGCTCTGAAGAAGAGTAATTAGTGTAAAGTTAATAAAGATATTGACCTGACCAACTTTAATTAGAAGAATCTTCATCTCTGGCTCTCTGTTCAAAATTGAAAGACCAGCACTTGTATATCAAAAAGTAATAATTTTTGATAATAATCTTGATGCTAATTAATAAAAATAGATGCTATCAAGAAAATCCACTACTTTCAGAGCTCTATCAAGTTAATCTTACTGGTGACCCTGTTTCAGTAATTGATTTAGAAAATTACTTTGTCCTGTCATCAAGAACATAAATATTGCTGGCAATATACTGCTATTAAGTTACTTCAAGAGACAGCTAAAGTAATCTTATGCACTCTGTTTGAGTGTAAGTTACTCTTAGCAATAGCATCAATAATTATACTGAGTAATATAGACTTTATTATGGCAATGGCATATTATAAGTGTGTTACAGTCAACACCAATGATATGAAGCTTGTTTTTGATATTGGTGCCAAAATTAAGTTGAACTATTTCAGTCTGATTAATGCATCTGATTATCTTATCTCTGCTGCCACCACTTATCATCTGCATGCTGCCTCTGCTCTGTCAACTACTACTGCCACCACTTCACCATCACCACCACCACTCACTACTGTCTCTCTGCCTCCCTCCAGCACTATCAGAGTCTCCACCCATCAAATGGCAGGTATTAGAGCCCCTGTCTGGTTCACAAAGCTGGTTCTAGAGGAGCAGAAAAAGAAGAAAAAGAAGAAGAAGAAGAAGAAGAAGAAGAAGTAGAAAAAGAAGAAAATGAAGAAGAATAATAACAATAATAATAATAATAATAATAATAAAGATAATGATAATAATGATTAACTTGTTATTTAGATAGTTCCTGTTTGTTTGCTGGCTTCAGCTATTAGTTAGTTTTAATACTTTGTTTCTTTTAACAATCAAATTAATTTTTCTATGGATTCTGCCTTTATCAAAAAAGTAACAAAATTTGATAATAATTCACACAAAATTTGATCAGTTTGACTCTTCTCTATAAATTTGATATAATGGGACTGGAAATTCTGGTCCCATCCCAGTCCCACTATAGATCTAGCTGAAATAGAAAATAGAAGTCTACCATTTCTGCTAGAATGAAATGTGGGACATAATTTTCTATTTGAGAATGGGACCAGGAAATAATTTCTGAAATAGAGATGAAAACAGAATCTCAAGCTCTTGTGTAGGATGGGACATGAGACTGAGATTTCATATTTAGGATTCCAGCTGTTTCTAAATTCAGGATCAGGACCAGGTTCAATGGGAAATGGGATTCCATTCCAGTCCTAAATACCAGCCTAGTCAAGCAAGACTCAGACATTTGCAACTTTATTTTTAATCTGAGAGAGAACAGTATAAACTGAACTTGATGAACAAGAGAATTCAGATAGACTGTCTTTAGTAGATTCTGTTTTGAACACAAGGTCCACAGTCTTAACTATATAATATAAGGCAGAACAACAATATTTTATGAAAGATTCTTTAACAGTAGAAGCAGCCTGATGATAGTGATATTTAGCAGCTTCTGAGTCAAGCTCATAAAATTCATGCATGAGTATACTCATGCACTTGACATTGTACAGATAATGTAAATTAGCTGTGTCAAAACTATAGTATTCTTCTCAAAGTCACAAGAGCTGATGAACTAGTTTAATAGTAGATTCTGAAATCTACAGTCAGATCAGAACAACAAAAAAAACAGACAAAGATACACTTATATTATAACAGATACAGATTTGATATTTTAAATAATAAGAACAAGATTTCTTCTCAGTATTTTCTAGACAAGACTTGTCTTCATTCAGGCAGTCTGTAAATATTAAGTAAATACAGACAGAGTATAAAAGAGTGTCTTCTTTATTATATGTAACAGAGTTCTTCAATAACAATATTGTGATAAGTTATAAAATAAACAAGAAACAACATCTGAGCTCAAATAAAGTAGAAGAAAAAGAAGAAAAAAGAGAGCTAGAAACTCTCTATTTATACTTACATCACAATACATTAAAGTTGTTAGTTTTATAACTTATTAATAAATAATATAATAACAGATAACAGATAATATAGCAACCAGACAAGCAAACAAACAAAGAAACAAGTACATGACAAAATACTGAATATTTATAATAAAATAATTACTATTCTATAACAAAGAATGTCTACTGCAACTAGTGATAATATACATGCAGAATATTTATATAGATAAGCAGTAGTAATGCAGAAGCTTGTATATTCAAGAATCTATAATACTTTATTAATGACAGAGGAGCTACAACAACATACAAAAAACCACTTTAGTAGCTCTGTATCTTGAAGTCTGAGATCTCTGGAGGGGGAAATAGTATTACAAATATAGATCTAGATTAATCAAGCATCAGACAATATTGGATGTTCAGGGGTATTCACATGACCCCAACTCTGAATATATAAGAATCACATAATTTATATAGATTATGAGAACCTCAGCATTCAGTCTTCTAGTTAGAGAATCTCTACATTCTACACACAACTTTCTTTCATCAGTTGCAGGCATTATATCTACTTAGCTCTTTTGTACCTCTAATTCTGGGAAAATCTATATAATCTACAACCAGTTCTCCTAACACTTTAGTAAATTCTCTACTTAGAGTTTAGAGCTTTGCCTCAGAACAACTTTCTACTAGTTCACCAGCTTAAGCTGCTCAGCCAGAAGGGTCACAGTTTCTTATATAAACTTTATAATAGATCTTTTTTCAAGTAGAGAGAAGAAAAATTTATATAATATAGTTCTGATTATTGTAGTTTAATTTACAAAGCTTGCATGTTTTTCTACCTGTAGAAAGAAGATTAATATATTAAAGATAACAAATTTTCTGCACAGAAAGATATTCAAAGATTTCAGATTTTTAAATAACATTGTTTTGAACTAGAAATCTGTCTTCACAAGTGAATACTGGTCAGAGCTATGTTTTCACATAAAAGTTAGACAAAAACTTAGCATAATATTTCATCTATAAACAGACAACTAAAGAAAGACACTGAACAAGACCTTAAAGAGGTATTTCTGTATCTATTATAATTATAGACAAGATAATTAAGAGAAGTAGCTTATATATGCAGAATTTATACAACAAATCAGAACACTTCACAATACATATATTCTTATTTAAAGCAATGTACAGTTTTGAATCTAGAGAATCAGCTAAGATTCAGAAGTTAACTAATAACATATAGATAATATCTAATAGAAAACTGAAAATAATCTCTGTATTAAGAAATAGTCTGATAAAATATTTAACAAAAGCAAAGAAGAATTAAGTATAGTTCTATAATTAAAAACATCAAGATAAGATGTATGCATCTAGCAATAAAGTAATATTATTATTAAAGAATCTACAGATAATATACCTTTGCAAAAAACTAAACAACAAGTACTATAAATTTTTCTTAGTAATAAAGATTATAGAAAACAATATATATTAACTAAAGCTCTTTTCAAGCTATCTGATTTACAATATCTTTTATATCTTATTGTTGAAACTATACTATATAAGAAAGAGTAAGACATCAATATATTCTTCTGCAGTACTGATAGATGATTATCATAAGTGGAAAGTAGATAAAATCTTAGATAACAAGATGTACTATTACAAGAAATATTATCTGGTAAAGTGCAAAGAATTTCTTACTAAGGAATCAACATGAAAATCTGAGAAAAATCTTGAAAATGTACAAGAGGCTCTCAAGAATTATCTAAAGAAAAGCTATAGCTACCACAAGACAGACAAACTTACATATATAAAGAAGAAAATGCATGGTGGGAAACAGAATTAAAAAACTGCCATACACCACAAAATCAAGTAATTAATAACAAGAAGAGGTAATGTATTCCACAACTAAGCAGGGCAACCAAGCAAGCAGGACATCAAAATACACATACAAATCTCAATTTTTTGCTCTCTTATATCTTAACAAGTCTATGTGTAATCATTATAAAATGAAGAAAATACTATACAGATATAATAAACTTTGTAAATTATAAAAATCATTTAAATATAATAATTATTTCTTAAGTTATAGTATTTTATTATCTTTTTACTAGCATGTATCAAAGTATCTTTATAAATAATAAAGCTAAATAAACTAAATTAACAATACTGTTTATTAAGTATCTATATACTTTACATCTAAATTTTAAAGTCTATATTCAACAATGTTGTTGAGATATAAAAGAGTAAAGAGTTGAAATTTGTATGTGTATTTTAGTATTCTACATGCTTGGTTGTCCTACTCAGTTGTGAAATAAGTATGTTATCTAAGAAAATATAATCAACTATTTACTAATTAAAATTTAGTTATAGGTATTTTGGATTTTATTTAATAAGATTATTTGATTACTTTTTTAATTTATATTATTTCTGTAATTATATTAAACATCTAAAGTATTTACTATTAAATTGTTCAGTTTATTAAACTAAAAGAAATATTTAACAAGAACTTAATATTTCTCAACTATCTTTAAATTTTATTTTTGAAGCTGAATTAAATTTAAAATACTTTTTAATTCTAAAATATACTTAATCTGAAATAATCACTAGATAATAACTTTTAAAATATACTAATTTTATTACTTTTTTATATATATCAGATTGCTACAAGAATATTTATTTTTTCTTTAAAATTGATATTAGTTACTATCTGTTATTTGACTTTTGTAAAAGAAAGAATATTTTATATTGTCTTGAAATATTCTGATTTTTCTTATTTTTCAGTTTTTACAATGTATACTAAGTAAATCCTAGCAGAAAGCTACTAGTAGAGCCTAGGTAGTCTTCATAGTCACTGACTACATAAGACTATAATGAATAATAATAATAATAATAATAATAATAATAATAGTATCTAGGTTAGGGTGACCAGCCCCCTTCCTATTTCAGAAGCAAAACAATACGAGACCACTGCAACAAAAAAAGATGATACAAGAGATAGAATATGTACAAAACATGCAGTACAGAAGCAAGAACTGTGCAGATATCAAATCAAACAATGAAAGGAGACTCTTTTCCCATGAATTGACTTTCCTGATTGCAAGAGCAACTGTGCTATCCCCAGAACGGCTCGTGCATCATTTTGGTCATTGCAACATTCTTTTGCTCGTCCTCATCTCTCTTCTTTTTGAGCTTCGCCGCCTTTGCGGGAGAGAGCTGTCCCAGGGGCTTCGGTTCACGCAACAAACTCCGGCTTTTGCCTTGAAAGAAAAGATCCAGGTATCTCTGATCACCCATCCCAGGTACATTGTTGAAGATATTGGTGGCCTTGATGAAAGATAGCAACCCTCCGACCGTTGGCTGTATTTTCTCAAGAGTGCTCGGATCTCCCAACTCCAATGCGGCGTGAACGAAAGATATGGCAACTTCGATCCACATGAAGACATCGTCCACAGAGGTACTTGCCGCGCCGCGTCTGAACTCGATTGTTCCGTGAGGGGTGTTGAGCAGGTATAGGAAGTTCCAGCCGAACATTTTATCATGATTCGGGTTCATGAGCAGTACCAAATCCCGCATGTTGGAGGCTTGTCCGATGAGCGCAATACTCTGGCGCCGGGACAAGTTTCGGTGGGCGAAATTTGCATTGTCCAACCAGTTGCTCCGCGCATACTCGTTCGAAAGTCGGTCTTGAGGGAGAAGGGCCTCAAAGGCAGGCTCGAAATGAATAATGCTTTGGCAAACCTTCTTGAGGCCCTCTAGAGAGTACCCCCCAGCTAACGAGAGATGCACGTGTGTGCCGCAGCTGCTGTTTGCAGTGACATTGAACTTGGCGGAGAGGAAAGACCACATGAATCGGATATGGGAGCGCCAAGGTGAGTTTGAATGTGCGCGAAAAATCGGTGAAATGCTCTCTAGCGCCCCTACGCATTCCTCATTATTAGCAAGGATTGTAATTGATGGTGGAAACAGAGATGAACTTACAGGGCGCTTGATTCTTATCAGGGATGTCAATTGTTGAATCGGAATCAAGAGACCATTCAGCAAATCGAGGTCCCAAGTACAACTCATCGATGGCATTGTGCATACCGGGATGCTGCTTCGGGGCTGAGGACGCCAAGTAGGAGTTGTACATCGATGCCACCATTCTGGAAAATTCCCGGATGGTTGTCGCCTTATTCTCCTTTGGATCACGGGATGCAAGAAGGAATTGGGTTTCAACACCAATTCCAAAACTCCCGATGGGATACTGGGGCTCCTTGGGTACAGCGGGCTGCTTGCCTGTTGCTGGTCAGAAATATCAATCTCCAGCTGTTGGACAGGAGGTTCCGTACCAAGTTGTTGTCTAGGCGCTGGAGGAGGGGGAGGAGGCGGGGGCGGTGCCGGAGCTTGCTTTCTTGAAGCCATTCTTCGGGAGGGAACACAGTCGTCAGGCCTTTCAAGACAACGTATCTGCAACAAGGGGAAAGGAATAATGCTTTTCGAGAAGTGGTAGTTTGAGTCTGGGAATCAACAACAGAAACAGAGAAATGCTGAGGGCATAGCCATCTTGACTGAAATGGCAAAACTCCTGCAGTGACTCCCCTATAATTAGAAGTCTCTCAAGAGGTGTTTTAGTAGGAAGGAACATCCTCATCCAATGATTCCTGAAAGGATATTTGCAGACTGCTTCATCAGTCCAGCCGCCTGAGCAACAGGCCTTGTAGTCCAATCAGTACTTGAAAATGATTCACTCATGGTGCATATACCACGCGCTTATGAACTTCACAGGGTTCAAGAAGTGTAAGTAGCCACCAGGCACCTCAGGAGAGACCCCATGTTGGTTCAACAACAGTGAAGTGTCAGCCTGTAGTTTGTTCACATAAGCGCCCGACATCAGGTCTCAGGTTATTATTAGAAGATAGTGGGTTTCCGGACAGCCAAAGGAAGTGATCTAGTAATGGAATCACTCTTTGCATTGAGGGTTTCAGAGAGGTTTCGCAGGGTTGCTGACTAAATAGAGTAAGTGACTTATTTATGTAAATAGTAGGCAACATCATGTGGACGCGCCGCCATCAAGGACTTTTAAACTACATTACGGGTACATTTGTTTCTCTGACAGCTTGTGGCACAACTTCTATCTACATAATACCTAACTCATACCATGTCTGACTCTCCAGCACTGGGAGGTTCATCTCCCCCAACTGCACCACCACTTCCTCCTGCGCGTCCCCAGAGTGATATATCCAAAGACTCTGGCTTCATTCTCAAAGTGAGAAGTGCTCCGCCAGACTGGTTCTACCAGGCCCCCAACCCGCCCCCTCTCATCGATCACCATGCCGCGCCCACAGGACCGTATTTCTTTTACGGGACGCTCCAAGATCCCTGCATGCTCACTGAGATTCTTGGTCTGGATGCAAAACTGAATCTCAGACCGGGATATATAACTGGTTACTCTGCCAAACTCTGGGGGCAGTATCCTGCGTTGATTGATGGTCCACCCGGAAACATCATTGAGGGTATGGTCTTTGATGTCCAGACTGTCGAGCAGGGCGCGACATTAGCGGAGTACGAGACACGAGCTTATGGTGTGAAGCCTTGCTTTATCAAATATACTGATGGAAAGGAACCCGCGACCGCATATGGAAATGTGTTCATGTTTGTCGGGGATGAGAGGGAGTTAAGTGAGGGCGAGTTTGACCTTAAGCTTTGGTTGCAGAGGATGGGGAGAGGGTAGGAAAGTCCTGAAGGGGAGGGGAGTTTTATCAATCCTATTTTATTTATTCTACACCGAGATATTCTATCCACCAGTATAGTGTCGCCATTGTTCTCTCTTCTTTCTTGTTTTGTCTGCTGCTATTATGAATTCAGGGCGCGAGGGTCTGAACCAGATGAACATTGACACTTCTTCCTGAGTTGACTAAGGTTGTTTGAATGACTTGAGAACACCTTCTCTGTTTTGCTCAGGACATCACCACAAAACATAGTTGGGATACTTGCAATGATATGCCATTTCTTGAAACTCGCAATGCTAAGCTCAGCAGTTAAGCAAGTGATTGCCTGGAGATCATGGATGTAGCAAGAATCTGACAACTCTTTTTCCTAACTCCATACACTGATCAAACACACATCTCCTCCCTCTCCTCCCTCTCCTCCCTCTCCTCCCTCACTGACCTCTCCCAAACATCCCACCTCACCTCTTCCACGCCATCCCATCATCAACATCAAAGACCAATGAGGCTACTGCCCTTCCGCTTCTGGACGTACAAACTACAAACAGCAGATCCGCGCGTATTACCTGCTGACCAAGCTCCTGAGACACGCAAAAGGAGATTGGGGCAGTATGTCTATGTTCTCACAGGGAGTTGCGTTGGAGGTGTGGAAGACTAGATGAATGGATGGTGGGCCGTGGGTGTCAACACCATGGGGGCAGTCTGGGAGTTGAGTTTTCCGGAGGGGAGGCTGGGTGGGAGGATGAAGATGGGGATTGATTGAGAAGGTGAGCTATGGGGTGATGAGGATAGGAGATCCTTGCTCGGCTGTGTGATTGGGGAGGCTGGTGTTGCCAATTATGATGATGATGAAGATGAGACTGAGAGGGGAAGTGGAAGAATCTTGTTTGTGCGCTGATGTGTAAGGGTGAGTGACATTGCGTAAGTCAAGTACATAAATAAGTACTTTACTTCAACTCTTCCATGTTGGAGCGGTTGACTCAGATATACTAATTCCAAGTAAGAGTATCATCTGAGGCTTGCCTTTGAACCCTATCAAGGGAATTCAGGAGTATATGAGTGCCCTGCTCAGTAAGTGGTGTTTTCTTTTCAGGGAAACTGGGTCTGTTTTAATAATTTCATTTTTGCTAACTGGGGGTCTGTTTTCCATGCCCAAAGGAAAGTAAAATTCCAAATTTCTTAGGCTTTCTTCTTCCGCTCTTCCTCTTCCAATTTTTCCAACTCTTCAATCTCCTTGAAACCCTTTTTAGGAAGTCACTAGCACAAACGGAGAAGCTTCTCGTGAGCTTCCCTTTCTTCGCACTCAAGCTTGCTATGGGCCTTGATGAGATGATCCCTTGCTCGCAGGGCGTGGCGGCGACGCGAGGATGACCAAGGACAACCAGCAGATATGCAACCACCGCACCTGAACTTATCAAATGGTAATCAACAAAATTAATCAACAATAATACCATTTCGGGAGATCTGTGGGAGTGGATTGTAGGATTCTCAGGTAGGAGAGGAACGTCTAGAACAGGGACATTCAAAGGATTAGTAGGGACATCAAATGAAGGTGAGGGAGAAGACTCAGCAGCTCGACACGTAGGTGTCAGCATTCCACATCTCAGTATCAGGAGGCAATTATTTCTCTAGTTTATCGATCACCACATTTGGCTTAAAAGGCCAAAGGCCACGGTCAGCAAATCCAGCTCAAATTGAATGTTGTTTGAAGGTGCGGGGATTTGCTTCCCAGTCTGTCCCTGTACTCCGTACTGGGGGGAATCATGCGCAGAGAGCCGTGGTTCAGCCCCGCAGGGGTTGCCCCGAGAACTCAAACTATAAAAGGGCGCCAATCAGGGAACGCCAGGAGCCGCCGATGACATTCTACTCACAGAGGTTGGATTGGCTCAACTGCAAGCGAGGAAGAATGCCCTAGAAGATAAAATGAGCCATTGTCCACCCAACAAAAGGATCTCTGTAGCGGGTTCCTTGGGAAATCAACTCTCTCTGATATTCTTTGGTCAACTTTCTTCAACCAATCTTTGTCGCTGCCCTTTACCGAATCCCACCGCTGCCCCCCATGGACAAAGAGGAGAGAATTTCACAGCCCAATTCCGCTCAAAGTGACAATGCGGCAATCTTTTCTCCCGTTCTGACCATTCTGAATCTTACGTCTCTTCCGACCTTATGTGCTCTTACTCGAAAAGCATCGGCAGATTTCGTGGAAGACCCAGAAGCCCCCATTGAGCCAATAGTTGTCGAATCTCCACTTTTCGGTTCCTACCATGCATTATTCCCAATTCGATTTCAAGATGGGTTGCGTTGGATCCTTAAGATTCCAGCCTGTGGGACACCCGAGCAATTCACCGCGTCTGCCGCATCAGCACTTCGATCTGAAGCTTTGACTATGAAACTGATCCAACGCGAAACCTCAGTCCCAATCCCTGACGTGTTTGCATTTAGCTCAACATTGGACAATGAACTTGGAGTTCCTTATATCCTCATGAAGTTCATGCCAGGGAAATCTCTTTATGACTGTTGGTTTGACATGAAGATCTCGAAGGAAGAACGAAGATTACACCGCAAGAATACCCTAGAGGATATTGCTCAAGCAATGGCTGAATTGAGCAAGTTCTCGTTTTCTACTGGTGGTGCCCTAATGTATGATGCAGAAGGAAACTTAACTCACCCTGGTCCACTGAGATTTATTGACCATCAGGCAATGCTTGAGCGGCTTGGGCAAAGTGATGATGATGACATTGAACCAACATTATATTTTGAAGCTGGCCCCTTTACAGACCCACAAGATTTCTACCTTCTCTCACTTAACCAAGCAAAGGAGCCAGAGCAACCTTTTCATAAAGGAATGCGGAAGCTTCTTTATCTTCTTTTACAATGGATTCCGACACCACAAAGCCCAACATTTGTGCTCACACATCCAGACTTGAATTTCCAGAATGTCCTTGTCTCTGAGGATGGGAGGGTGCAGGCCTTAATTGACTGGGATGGTGTGGCGGCAGTTCCCCGTCTAGTGGGAAATGAAAAATTTCCCTCTTGGCTCACTCGAGATTGGGATCCGGCGATGTACGCATGGAATGAGGAAATGGAAAAGGGCATTGAACAAGATACGTTGTGGGAAGACTCTCCAGAGACCCTTGTCTTGCATCGCAGAGAGTATAGCGACTTTATGGAGCGGTATCTATCTCTGCGAGGGCAATCTCTCCCATCATGCGCTCCTGCTGTTAAAGAATCATCTGTAACGCAGAAGTCACTTTTTGTCGAGAACCTGGTTATTGCAGCTGAGAACCCCCTTTGCAGATTCGAGATTCTTAACAAATTTGTTGAAAAGATTGTTGAACTGGCGCGAGCGAACTCTTTGGATTGTATCAGCAACAAATATCAGGATTTGGAGATATTTGATATAACAGATGATCTGGTAACAGGTGAAATGGAACAGGAAATGCTGAACTTTCTGAGAAAGGGCTTTGATAGTTTGCTGAGTCAAAATTTAATGTGAGACTGCTATCTCAAAGCTTTTGCTTGTGTAGTTATATCAAGCCTGGGCATCAGAAAAAATATCAACCTGTTTTCAGATATGGCATAATCTGCAGAAGGCTGGTCTTTTACGCCAGCTATCCACTGAGCAGGACATCAGCTTGGCACCTGTAAACCTCCCCTAAAGCAGCTCCTCAGTTTTAAAGAAACTAAAAAGAAATAACCAGCACCTTCAAAGAAAATATGTTTTATTGAAGAGCCGACCCCCTGTGTCAGTTGTCCCTGTCCTGGGGAGCTTGTCGGAGAAATGCAGCCAAGTCTGATTTTCCTTTTGCATAAGAGGATTGCAGATTCTGGTTGTCAAGGCACTTTCTTCATGTGCTCACCTGGACTGCGAGTCACACACCCCATTGGTAATGAAGGCTTCCTAGCATTATCCGGAACATGATGAGGAAGGAAAGTTGTTACATGAAACAAGAGACAGCAGGGTTACAAATGTTGCTTGATACTATCATCATGCAGGGAGGAGGAAATTCACAGGACCTCATCACTACACATTTAGTACTGTGGTATGCAGGATTGTCTCAAGCATCTTATGGTATGTCGCGGTCTCACTCTGCAAGGGACCGTCTGAGGCGACTCAGGCGAGCTGCTGCGCTGCCCAAGTTCCCACCCTGGCTAGGTTCTGATTGTTGGGGACATTTTCGGGAATCTGAATGAAAGGTAGATTGCCAGGTGAAATTGGACACCCACTAACAGACGGCGGCCATCTTACCTCGGCGAAGTCAGCCAGGCGCCAGCCTTACCACACAGGATCAGCCTGACTGGTTGAAGCTGCAAAGCAGGGGCCTGGGGTTCTGACATGAAATTACGCCATTCAAGGATGGCGACATTGGGCATTCGCTTGGGCGCGAGCAAAAGGGGGGAGAAATGCATTTGGTAATGCAGTGAAAAGACACATCAGTAACTGTCGAAGCAAAAGGGATGGTGGTTGAGATTTCGGCAAAACGTAGCGCCAATTTAGCGCTCAGGAGAAGCCAGATATATCCGGAATTTTAGTAATTCCTCAGCAAATCATGAGGTCCAAGCATATCTAGGAAGGTTTCTTCCTCCTTTTGGGAAGGAGCTTTTGTAGATTTTTGATTTGACCATATCATCTCCTGCGTCTCGCCACATGTCAAATGCGTGGCTCCAATATTGATCCTCAGGATCTCGCAAAATTTCTGCTTCGCAGTTGCGCCAGATGTGGAATTTCGGGCTGTAAGTAACCAGCACGTGATAGCTTCACTCCACCCCCAGCTTGTCTGGATCTCAAGGGTCGCTACGGAGTATTGATCGCGAGTTAATTTGCCCACAGATAGAATGTGTCAGTGAAACAAAGTGTTTACCCATTGTTGAATCCCCAAAAATTGATTAAATGAGGCAGAAAGCCTGTCTCTCACTCCTGACCTCAATAGGCCTCCGGGGATCAGAATTGAGCCCGACCTTCTAGAGATACTGCACACTAGTTAACTACAGTACCATGATGTTTTTATCAAGACACTACTCCATAGTCTCTGTGTAGTTAACTAGCGTCCAACTTGGCGGCTTGGATCTTCTTTGATCTGGATGCAGAGTTTTTATCCCAGTTCTCATCCAAACCTCCTACAAGGTTGGCAAGCAGAGAGCACAAGATGCATAGAGTTCATGTTCTATGGTTCCTATAGCTTTCGCATATCGTTGGTAGCCTCGTGGGCTCTCTGAGATATTGTCTGATAGAGCTAGGTTCTTCAGACACCATTTTGGGGGAAATCTTTGCCAAACTCATAATGCTTCT